CTGTCCCATTGAGCTATATCTCCAGTCCTGGAATCTTAATTTTTTAGGGAGCCTCTAATGGTGATGATGGCTAGCTTTCTGTTTTTGTTTGGTTTTGGCTAGCTTTCTGTTCATTTGCTGTGATAGTCACTGTTGGAAATAGAACTTAAGATTTCAGATTGGGTTTTGTGTTTTTGTAACACTGAACTACTCTCTCTCTCTCTTTTTTTTAATATTAGTTGTCAATGTGCTTTTCTTTAAATTTATATGTGGTGCTGAGAATCGAACCCAGTGCCTCACACATACTAGGCAAGCGCTCTACCACAGAGCTACAACCCCACCTCTGACCTACTCTTTTTAAAAATATATTTTTTTGTAGATGAGCATAATACCTTTATTTTTATATGGTGCTGAGGATTAAACCCAGTGCCTCACACTTTCAAGGCAAGTGCTTTACTACCGAGTCACAACCTCAACCCCTGAACTTCTCTTACTAGTTCATGTTTTTTTCTGTACATATTCTCTTTAAGCATTTGTTACAGAATCCCCATACCTTATTTCTCACTGTAAATTGAGGCTGAGGCAGGAGGATCTTGAATTCAAAGCCACCCTTAGCAACTAAGTGGGAGTGTAAACAACTTAGTGAGATCCTGTCTCTAAATAAAATATTAAAAGGGCTGGTTATGTGGCTCAGTGGTTGAGTGCCCCTGAATTCATTCTCCAATTTAAAAAAAAAAAAAAAAAACTAAAACAAAACAAAACTGTGTTTTTAAATGACATTGCATGCTCTTTGTTTTGGTTTACAGTTGTCCTTGGAAAAATGTTTTTTCTTTCCTAAGATCAATTTATCTTGAAAAGCAGTGCAGAAAATTATTTATGCTTCCTAGATCCCTTAAATTTTTTTTTTTAGTTATAGATGGACACAATATCTTTATTTTTATGTTGTGCTGAGGATCAAACCCAGTTAAACCCAGTTATCTCAGACATGCTAGGCGAGTGCTCTACCTCTGAGCCACAACCTCAGGCCCCCCCCCTTTTATTTTTATTTTTTTAATGTGAGGAAATTGCCAGTGTTTCGTAATTGTTGATTTTATGTGCTTTTAAGTTGTGGTTTATAGATTGCAAGAAATAATAAGGTTTGCAGAAAAAAAAAAGTAAAACATTCTCTTAATGGGAAAGTGAAGAACCTAACAGAATGTACGTTATTGGCTTTAGTCAAATACAGGTTTAAAAAATTGTAATGTCGTGAACTTGGAGAAATCCAATATAGAACTGACATGAGCTTTCTCCCTGCAGGCCAATCCAGGTTCATTTTCTAGAGTGATAACATCTTTCAAAGATTAAAAAGAGGTTTAACTTAGCAGTTAAATATGTAAAACTGGAAATTCCAAAGCAAAAATTTTCAGAAATTCTACAAGAGCCTGTCCACACTGTGATCCAACATGGCTGACATTCTTTATGCATTTATGTTCAAGTTGTTTTGCCAAGTGCAGACGTTGACTCTGACCTCTAGAGTTGATTTATATATGTTTATATAAACACACACATATTTAGTTGTAGTTGGACAGAATACCTTTATTTTATTTATTTATTTTTATGTGACGCTGAGGATTGAACCCAGCGCCTCACATGTGCTAGGCGAGCATTCTACTTCTGAGTCACAACTCCAGCCTCTGATTTATATTTTTATATATACAAGGAATGAATAAATAAAATTTTTAATTTTTTTGTTCTTAATAATTAAAAAAAGGTAGGGCATGTACTTATTTTAAAAATCAGAATTCCACAATTTAATCTTTTTCGTAAAGACTTATAGATTAGTGTCTCCGGAGACTGAAGGAGGAGGATGAGAGTTCAAAGCTAGCCTCAGCAAAAACAAGGCACTAAGCAACTCAGTGAGCCTGTCTCACTTTGTAAAATACAAAATAGGGCTGGAGATGTGGCTCAGTGGTTGAGTGCCCCTGAGTTCAATTTCCGGTACCCCCCCCCAAAAAAAAAAAAAAGAACATAGATTTGTAGCCAATAATGATTGATAGTAAATTATCAGCCAGTATCAGATTATGCCAATATCTTTTTTCTTTTTTGGTACTGGGGATTGAATCCAGGAGTGCTTTACCACTGAGCTACAATCCCAGTCCTTTTTATTACTTATTTTAAGACAGGGTCTCAAATCGTCCTGCCTCAGTATCTTTAGTGACTGGGATTATAGGCCTGCACCAGTGTGTTCAGCAAGATATTTTATCTTAAAACATTTATAGTTGCTTGTCTTAGACATTAAGTGACAAGAATTGTTATCGTTTTCTACACACCATTTGTCATTTTGAAAAAGGGGTTATTTATCCTGGCCTTAGACTCCACTTTCTTTTTCAACTACCACATCCAAACCATGGCCAAACCATGATTGTTCTGCTTTGTGTCTAAGTAGCTCATGAAACAGCCCGTTTATTTTCACCCTACAGTCTCTCTCTGTGGTCCAGACTACCACTGGAACACAGCAGCAGCTTCCTTATTTTCCTACCTCATGTCACACCTTCCTCAGTCCTCTTTCCACAGTGTATTTGGATATTTCTTGGAAAATCGAATGCATTCTTGGCAATTTACCTTCTCTGGCTTGTAGGCAGGATCAATCCCACATCTCTTCTTAAGGAGATGACACCTCTTCAGATTTTCCTCTACCACTGCCCCCATATTTCTTGTTAAGTTATGCTGGGCTTCGTTCAACTCTGGGCCTCCCCATCTGCTGTTGCTTTGTTTGCCCATTCTGTCTTCATTCCTCATAAGTTTTTAGCATACATTGCAGCCTTCTCTGTCTACCCCGAAGACAAGGTTAGATTTTTTTCTGTGCATTCCCAGATTAGGTTAGATTTTTTGCTGTGCATTTCCAGAGCATCTTTACTAATATCATACTGATGATGATGATGATTATTATTTATTTGTTTGGACTCCAGGGATTGAACCCAGGGCTTTGTATATGCTAGGCAAGCACTCTACCACTGAGCTACATCCCCAGCCTCATACCAGCACTTCTGTGTAATGATTGTGTTCTTCATTTTTTAGTTTAATAAGTGCACATACTCTGTGAGGCCTTGTTCAATGAAATATCTTCGGTGCCTAATATACTTCTTATAGTACACACTTGCTATAAATTAAAACTGAATTTATGCTCACAATAGTTTGCTGAATGAGTTGGTAGTTTTGCATCTGTTTGGTAAACACAAAAACTGAAGCATATAAAGAAAGTTGGAACTTGCCAAAAGATTGGAACCACTTAGTGATAGTTGGTTCTGGATCTCAAACGCAGGCTTCTGACTCTAAATCTTTTGACTCTTGCTTATACAGGTTCATTTTGAAAGTCTAAGCCTTTTACAAAATGTATGTCCAATGACTCATTTCTATTTAGGAAACCTTAGAAGTTGGAAGTTACCTTCTGATGATGTAATGTTTGATTGTGAGATCTTTGGGGTGGAGAGTTCCAACTTTTGTTAAGCCCTTAATAAAGTTAGGAGTAAAACAAGTACTGGCAAGACTGAATGAGCCTGTAATCTGCCCTTGTTGAGACATTTTCACTTTAAAACTTTAGAGTATGAGGGAAAAATAGGAAAGCACTAAACTTTCTTTATGGTGAATCCATTTATGGCATTTGGGATTGAACAATAAAAAACTTTTAAACCAATACCATAGTGAACTCTTATCATCTTAACTTTGGTAAACCAACAGAAAACAGCAAGAAACTGGGCTCACTATAGAGGACATTTAGTGAATTGAGCCTTTAGAAAGCTCTGAAGAAGTCAACCTATGAATGCTGTAAAACTCCAACCATGCCCCTGCATAGTGGTGCAGTGACCTTAATTTATTTTTGTCCATTGATTGGTTTGTACTGGGGATTGAACACAAGACCTTGCACATTCTACACAAGTGTTCTACCACTGATTACATACCTAGCCCCTTGTAAATTTTATTTTGAGACAGGGTCTTGCTAAGTTGCCCATTCTGGCCTCCAACTTGGGAGCCTCTTGAGTAACTGAGATTATATGTGTGCTACTACACCTGGGCTAGGAATCTTAATTTTTATTATTATTTTTTAATATTTATTTTTTAGTTTTTGGCGGACACAACATCTTTGTTTCTATGTGGTGCTGAGGATCGAACCCAGGCCACACGCATGCCAGGCGAGTGTGCTATCGCTTGAGCCACATCCCCGGCCCCAGGAATCTTAATTTTTAGAAATATTCTCTTGAAAAACATTTCAGGTGGTTGGGAGACTGAATCACCACTTTGGCTTTTGCCTGATGGTTTACTGGTAATATTGATCCAGTCTGTACCCATTACCAGTTGTACAGGTGGCTCTTTTGCCCTGAATATTTATTTCTACATGGTTCTCTTTTACTTTCTCTTTGTAACTGTTTGGGAAGTTTACACTATCATCTCTGAGCTATTAATTAATATGTGTAGACTGTATTGTTAGACCCTTTTTTAAAAGCTCATGACGTGGCAAATGCATACAGATAAATTAATGTGAGAACATTTGTGTAAGGTGGTTTTTAACTAAAAGCTCTGGAGAAGAGTCAAAACTGAGGGAAACCTTTAGGAAGTGGATGGAAGTTTGAGCTGTGTCCCTGAGGGATGACAAAATAAGTTAGTTCTTACAGAAATAACTGCATGTATGTTGCAGGGGCAAGCTATGTTTGCGTTAGTATTAGTGAACTAATACATTGAGTACAGAACTTAAAACTTCTTGTATGAAAGGCTTGTTCACAGAAGATGTTCACAGAAGAAACATTTTTTAAATTTTAAAATGTTCTTCCTTTTGTAACTTCCTTTTGTAATTTGTACAAACAACTGTACAAATATTGACTATTGGTGCTAATACCACATAACCTTAATAGAACTAGATGGATCCAAAGTCTTACCTTTCTGAAAAAATGCTGGTTTGTTTGGATTTCTAGAAATTATTTTAACAGAACAAAGAAAACTATAATTTTGTTCATGTCAACTAAGCAATCTTATTTTTCTCCTTTTAGAGCTGTAGGTAAAACTTGCCTACTGATCAGTTATACAACCAATGCATTTCCTGGAGAGTATATCCCCACTGTGTAAGTATCTTCAGTTATATTTGTATTGTCTGATATGTTTTTTTCTGATTTTTTTTCCCATTTGTTGTTAACCCTATCTTAATGCTTGTATATGTGGATATAATTTGTTTTCCTCTCAAACATTGTCTGGGATTTAATTGTAAGTATTTTGGACTTTTATGAAATACCTGGTCAGTTTAATATAATTTTCTCACATGATGGAACAAACACAGCCTTGCTTTTCTAATTTTTAGATACTCAAGAAAACAAAGTTAAAATTTAGTGTGAGATATAGCACTTGGTAGTAATATAAAGAAATCCAGAGCTAGTCAAAAGGAAGCCGACCAGAGATTGGTCAGAGAACAATTCTTGTGAATGTAAGAGTTTTGGATAGATTTGGCTCTATGGGAAGTGAAACGTGAAGTATTCCATTAGATTTTAATTGGCATTTTCTGACAAGTCATTCATCAGTTGGTTCTAGGTCACTGTTAAGTTACAGGCTTCACAGTTGAAACCAGGTAGGATAGAAATGGCCATTGGGCTGCATCTTCCCCAAGGGCAGCAGAATTGGGTGGAGAAGGAAAAGTGCTTTTTTTGTTTTCAGTTGTAGTTGGACACAGTACCTCTATTTTATTTTTATGTGGTACTGAGGAATAAACCCAGCACCCCGCACATGCTAGGTAAACTCTCTACTGATGAGCCACAATCCCAGCTCCAGCAAAATGCTTTTTTGATGTTGGGTTACCAGGGAGTTTCAAGTAGCCAAGCTTCACTGTGGCCCAATGAGTCTTGTGCATCCCAGTGGAGGCAGAGACACTGTGGAGAGGAATGACTTTAAGTCCCGCCCTGCTCAAGCACAGCACACTGCTTAGGTGCTCTGTGAAAGTGCCATTGAACATTTTAAAGTATGTAAATGGTAACACTCTGTCCTAGTTGTCTTGTATTTATGGTGGGAATTTACTTTATCTATGCATATAGATAGAGCTTAAATCCCTAATGATTATTGATTTTGAAGTACTATACCTGATTATATACCACTGGTCACTTTTTTTTTTGCCTCGATGCAAGAATATTATCTAGTTTTTTTTTTTGTAGGCTTTTTTTGGCTAATGTTTTTAATTAATTTTTGGTATAGTATGAGGCAAGCATCTGGTTTTCCACCCATGCCAGTGGGGGGAAAATACAATACTGTTTATTGAATACTTATTGAATAATCTGTCCTTTCCTCATGGAAGTAGAATTACCACATTCATTTAACCTACTTTGCTACCAGTAGTGGCCATGGGCACCTCCCAAACCTTTTATTTATAAAAACAAGTTAGGTCATTAAATTCTGTAAATTATATTGGGAGCTTGCTTAGATCTCGACTCTGCTCTTCTTGCAGTATAGTAAGAGGCATGAAGTATTAAAAGCATATAAAAAGTAAATCCTTGACTTTTATAGACTAATAATGTATTAGGGTATTTGTCTTGGCTTAAATTGCAAAGCTTGAAAAAAATCATAAAGCCCTTATTTTTGTTTTAATTAGCTATGATGCCAGTAGCACTTTTTAAATATCTGTCAGCCTATAAGCCTTTTTTCTCTGTTGCCTTTTCCTATAGTAACTAATTTGTGTATAGTAGCTTTAAGTTATTTTAAACATTGATGTGATTAGGTGTGCTCATTTTGAAAACATGGGTGGCTTCTAAAGTCAGGTATATCTTGTTACCACTGTACTTTGGTTGTAGGCATGGATGACCAAGACTGTACCAAGTATCACTCCATATACTCAGATGTGAGGGCTGGAAACACTTCTTGAAAATTATAAGACATGTACATGGAAAACTTCACACGTGGGATTTGAAGGAGGAACTAATTCCACTTTTTCCTGGAAAAAAATCTTAAACTTTCTGTTTATTTTATTTTATTTTTTAAATTTATTTTTTAGTTTTAGGTGGACACAATATTTTTATTTTACATTTATGTGGTGCTAAGGATTGAATCCAGTGCCTCGTGCATGCTAGGCGAGCACTCTACCACTGAGCCACAACCCCAGCCCCAACTTTTTGTTTATTAAGGCAAAGATTTTTTATTGCTGACAGAAATTTGTTTCACTTAAATTTAGTAGTTTGTCCTTTGTTTCTCAGGCATTTTTCTTTCTCATGTGTGTGTTTAGTTGGTTCCTCATACATTTCAGCCATCCTGCCTGCCGTTCTCTCTCAGAGCTCTTTCTCCTTTTGCCTTTGTGGTCATTTCCTGGCCTGGAAGTATCCAGGTCCATTTGCTGCCTTTTAGCAAACCTTCTATGAGATGTGAGGTGCTGCTGGGACAGTGACTTTGATCCTTTGTCTGTGACTAACCACTTTTATCTCATTCTACAGTTTTGACAACTATTCTGCCAATGTTATGGTAGATGGAAAACCTGTGAATCTGGGCTTATGGGATACAGCTGGACAAGAAGATTATGACAGATTGCGCCCCCTCTCCTATCCACAAACAGTAAGGACTTTAATGATTTATTCTAGAATGTTTTATTAATGCATATCTATGGTTTGCTTATTTTGCTGTGATTTGGGTATATTGAGTAATAGCACTCAATGTAAATTGGTTCCCTACATGCAATTCATATTTTTACTTTTTGAGCATTACCAGTTATTTAGCCTTGTGCATTCTACATTCTTTCATTTAATTTTATTAGGCTTTTTTTTAGCTAAAGGTTTTATCTTTAATTTATAATTCATTTTTAGTATAGTATAGGCAAGCATCAGACTCTCCTCCAAGTGGAGGTAAAATATAATACTATTTATTGAATAATCTGTCCTCTTCTCATGGAAACAGAATTACCATATTTATTAAACTTCCCCCACTCATAATAAAACTGGTAATGCTTTTATTGTCACAAACCAGTTTTTAATAGCAGTTAATTTGAAGATGATTTGCTTTGGGACAGTTTTTCACTACAGTATCAAATTAAGTAGTTAAGATTAAGGTCTCTTTAAACCACATTAGTATTTAATCAGGGCTTAATAATTTTTTTCTTATAAAATATATAATTCTTTGACTTTAGACCTAAATCTTTTCCATGTAGATTGAGGTTTTATTTTTATAAAATGGGTCTGCTGTGCCAATCAGAAAAAAATTTGTTTTGCCTCTCTATAAAACAACTAAAAGATTAAAAAGTGAATTAGAGCAGAAGCTGGCAAGAACAATGGGTACTTAAAGAGGAAGCAGAGCAAATTCCTAGGGTTCAGATCCTGCTTTTCCACTTCCTAGCTGCTGTGTGACCTTGGACAGTGTCTTCTCTAGTTTTTGCCTCTTTGTTTCTTGAGTGAGTTAATACATGTAATGTACATAGAAAATTCTTAGCATATTGCACACACTCTAGTGTTAACTGCTATTTGGATTCCTCTTCATTCTTATTGATACAATTTGATCAGTGTAGAGGCTCATTAGGTGAAAGTTGTGTTTTGGTGAGTGTCATTTTCTGTGAATGTGCTAGATGGGATCAGGAAGAGCTTAGAGAATGATCATATATGAGCCCTGATTGGTAGGGTAGCCTTAATTGACTTAATCATTACTTTTCTTTCTTTTTTTTTTAATTGAGTGTTATGTATTTAAAAAATTTTTTTTTAGTTGTGGGTGGACAAAATACCTTTATTTTATTTATTTATTTTTATGTGGTGCTGAGGGTCGAACCCAGTGCCTCACATATGCTACTGCTGAGCTACAACCCCAGCCCAACCATTATCTTCTTAGATCTTGTTTTTCAAAACAAACTTCCTGTTTAGTGATAGTTTTAAGATTTTGAATACAGCCTTTTCCCTCTAACCAACAGTCTCATGCATTTTGTTTCTAGCTGGAAGTATTGCCAAATACAGTCTAAACTATGTAGTTTTTGCACATTATACTTCAGTTAACAGTGCTAAATATAGTGTGGGAGGTTTCAGTTGGGTGGTTTCTCAGTTAAATCTATAGCTAAAAATTAAATGTGATTTAAGTATTAAAAATCAGCCCATAAACATAAAATGGTTCAAAATCTTAAATATCTTGAAAACTATTCTGTAATCAGTGAGTGTTGAATCATTCCTTTTTTTAGGGGGGTGTTGAACTCAGGGGCACTCAACCACTGAGCCACATCCCCAGCCCTTTTTTGTATTTTATTTAGAGACAGGGTCTCACTGAGTTGTTGAGGGCCTTGCTAAGTTGCTGAGGCTGGCTTTGAACTTGTGATTCTCTTGCCTCATCCTTCAGAGCTGCTGGGATTAGCGTGCACCACTGTGCCTGGCAAATCATTCCAAATTTTAAGTGGATTTAAAAACAGTGACTGGTAGAATAGGAATATCAACCCCTAGATAATCTGGAAGAGTGTGGCATCATTTCTGAGAAATGAGAGCCACCCCACTGTGACTCAGGGGATATAGGATAGGGCAAGGCCATTTTCTCTGAGGGAGTCACTCATAGCAAGTCAAAGGTGACTTGGCAAGAGTCCCATTCTGCTGAGGAGCACAGATAGGGTGAACTCTCAGATTGAAGAAAGCTATGTTGTTATTTTATGTTAGAGGCCTGAAATCAAAGGGGATGTTGCCCTGATGGGGCTTAAGACTAAACTTTTTAGGTCTTGACTATGTACATCAGTGGACTGTTTTCCTATAAAGCACTTGAGTAGGAAAAAAGGAATAAGACAGGGTTCTTGCTCTCAAGTAACTTTCAGAAAAGACCCATAAACTGACTGCTGTGTAATACATCATGTGCCAGAATTGAGGAGGGTGAGTGGGGGTGCTTAAGGAGCACCTGACTAGCAGTTAAAGATATGCTTGTTTCAACTCCTTTTTGCAAAGGAATGATCTTGGGAGCTCAGGGGCAGGCCCAAATGGTTTGGTACCAGGGCCCAGATGTCTCATTACTTTGAATCACTTTTTACCTAGAGGATTTGGCCTGGGAGTTACAGGATGGCACCTTGGTGTCTTGTTGGTAATGGGGAAACCTCTCAACCTAAGTGTTGAATGGAACTTGATCTCTGATTTTGGCTCTTTGGACTGCAGGGCTTTTTATGTGGCTTACCCAAGACTTCTCAAACCCATTCCTGAAGGGCCAGGTTGAAGATTTCTTATTTAGGCCATGCAAAAAAGAGATATTATGCTCTTCATGTTATTTAAAGTTGGCATCTTCTCTGTTGTATAGTTCTATGTAACTAAATCTTGTCTAAACCATTAATTTCTACTTGGTTCTCCAAAAGATAGTGAGCAGCTAGTCATCATTTTCAGTTGAAGTTACCCTTCAAATTATTTTTCCAAATTAAATAATCCTAAGGGCTTTTCTACCCTTCAATAAGTTACCTATATTTTTTTGCAAGTTCTGCATGCTCATATAGGTAGATCAAAGTAATGCTCAAATCCAACATCTTCTATTTCACTGTGTGGACTTAGTGACAGGAGTAGGAACATGAGTGGTATGTCAGCATCATAAGGCTTATGCCCTGTGGGTGTCTGATCCAGCTGATGTAGACTGTTTGCTGAGATGGTAGGCCTCTGTTTAGGTCAGCCCTCCTCTCACCTTTTTTTTTTTTTTTTTTGCTGGGAATAGAACACATGATTTACCACTGAGCTATATCCCCAATATCCTGTTCCCACCCCACCATTTTGAGACAGGGTCTCAACAAGTCTGGATGAACTTGTGATTCTCCTGTCTCAGCTTTTTGAGTCACTGGGATTATAAGTATGTGCCACCACACCTGCTTGAAGGTTTTAACCCATTAAGTCCTAAGTTTTCAATTCTGCAAACATAATAAATATTTACACATTTTTTCAAAATTGCCCAAGTAGTATTTTTTTGCTTAGTTTAAGGTCTTTTTTTTTTTTTTTGTCTTTTGACTGTTTATTACTCAAGCTTCAGTTTTTAATTATTACTTTTTAAAAATGTAGGTTTCTGACTCTGCTTGTCCGTTCAACATAGCAGTTTTCTTTCCCTCAATAAGGAAAGCATGCTTGATCCTGTCATGGGCAGCAAGCGTGGACCCACTGTAGGCCTTGCTGATGTATGAGTTTTTGTTTTAGATATCTCGTAGGTCTCACAGCACATACCCTTGAAATCTGCCTGGGCACACAGCATGTGCAGATTTTGATGCTTTCCCAACCTTCTTTGTATAAAGGTAAACGATTCTAATACCAGGGGTTTGGGACAGCCTAGTTTTGTTAGAGGCTGTATTATAGGAGAAGCCTACAAAAGTATGTCAGATGCATTCTGAGTCTGTCTTTGGAAGGACTGCCAAGATTGAGGAGTTTTTGAAGCTTAAAGTAGGGGACTTGCTCACCACCAGCCTTCCTCTTTCTCCCCTTACCAATCCTCATGCCAATTCAAAGAACTATTTGGTTTAAGTTTTTGTAGGTGGTCCACATCTGGAATGAAATTAGAATAATTCTCATTTGCCCTTAGAAGAATCCTCAAGAGTTCTGTGTTGAAAGAATAAGTCTATTGATTTTTATTTGAAGCAAAGAAGTGAATTAAAAGCATTGTGGTAAACACTGGAAATGTTGTTAACTTTTGTCTCTAAGGAGCAACCTCACCAAATCCATAGTGAGGCTTGGAATTGAGTCTTACTTTGAACTGCATTGTTCATTTCGGTAATACAAGTCTAAATCCATACTACACACAGAACTAGGAGGAAGACAGGAACACAGCTCTTCACAGGAGCTTTTAGTGTTCAGTGTTAGAATTGTCAGCTCTCAACTCTGGCTGTGTCCTGGAAAAACCCTCAAGTCTGGTCTATTAGGCATGTTTCACAGGCAGGTGCCTTTTCTGTATGCAGGCTTCTGCAGGACTTGTCTGTAAGAACTTGCATGCAGCTCTTTGAAGAAGTGCCTGTTGCTGACCTTTATGTTAGGGGACACTTGCTAACATTTCCAGCTGCATGGGAATGTGTTAAATTCTGGTGTGTGCTCTACAGGTAGAAGAAACACCTTTGTGGCACCCTAGTGGGTTAATAGTGGGTTAGACTGCTGCAACATTGGATAAAAGAAAAACTATGCTTTATATAGCTGGGAATTTTTTTTTGGGGGGGGTAGGTTACAGGGATTAATGAAGGGTGCTTAACCACTGAGGCACATCCTCATCCGTGTGTGTGTGTGTGTATTTATTTTAGTTGTAGTTGGACACAATACCTTTATTTCACTTATTTATTTTTATGTGGTTCTGAGAATCGAACCCAGGCTCTCGCATGTGAGGTGAGCACTCTACTGCTGAGCCACAACCCTAGTCCCCCCCGCTTTTTAAAAAAAATTTTAATATTTATTTTTTAGTGTTCGGCAGACACAACATCTTTGTTTGTATGTGGTGCTGAGGATCGAACCCGGGCCGCACACATGCCAGGCGAGGACACTAGCACTTGAGCCACATCCCCAGCCCTAGTCCCCTTTTTTATATTTTATTTTGAGACAGGGTCTTGCTCAGTTACTTAGGGCCTTGCCGACTTGCTGAGGCTGGCTTTGAGGTTGGAATTCTCCTGCCGCAGCCACCCGAGCTGCTGGGATTACAGGTGTGTATCACCATGCCTGGTTTAATTGGGAAATTTTGATTTTTTTTCAAAAGGCCTCAGCCTTCATTAGTTGGGTCAGTGTCCTTCGGCTACAGGTCATTAGGAACACACTTATAGTTAAGCAGAATTGGGTTTGTTACTTTTTGCCATGAAAGAGAAATACCTGAAAACTGGGGTGAGATTTGCTCTTGTGCTGTATGGTTGGGGGAGTGGTAGGGCTCAAAAAGGAAGTTGTTGTTTGTGGATGCATACCATCAGGAGCAGGATAATTCTGCATTGGTATATTTTGATCATCTAGTTGGTGGGGAGATGAAGCAAAACTAAAGCTGTGGTGGAAGTATGTAACTCATTTATTAGGAGCAGTGGATGTTTAGCAGTTTTGTAGTTTGCAGTGATTCTTTTGACTTGTCTGCACTTAGACAAGATTATAAGTTTGTCTTTTTCTTTACTTTTGGTCTCATTTCATTGTGGTCACATGGGGCCTTGTCTGATATTGATGTTCTGAGAAATTATTACATTCAACAGGCCCACTGTGACAAAGCTGTTGGCACCAGGCTACTTCCCAGGTGTTGGGCTGCTTCTTTTTTTTTTTTCTGGGGCCTATTTTCTTAGAGGTTCCACAGTGATGACACATGTCCAGCTTTTTTTAGTTCTGCCTTTTCTCTGTCATGTATGTATATCCTGGTCCTTTCTTTGCGCATAAAATGCCTGTATTAACAAAAAGAAAATTTCACACACTTGTAATCCTAGCTAATCAGGAGGCTGAAGTAGGATGATTGCAAGTTCCAGGACAGCTTGGGTTGATTAGTGATTCCCTGTCTCTAATCAATCCCCAGCCTCTGGCTGGGGATTGATAAAGCACCCATAGGCTCAGTCCTCAGTACTAAGTTGAGGGCAGGGCAGAATTCCAACACTGACCGGAAAAGAGAATAAAATGAAAGAAACAATACTGCTTTTGGAGTAGTGAGATTTCAGCCATGCAGATGTCTGCCCAGTCACATTCTACCAAGACCAGCCCATCAGTGTGGACTGTACTGTAGACAGGCAGAGGAGCAGCTGGTGGAATTGTTTCTGTCTGTACTTTTGACCAGTGAAGAAGGGAAGTGGCTTGTGATAGGAGACTAATAAAGACATGGAAGACTTGCCACTTTCTTAAAAGGCATGTTGGGCGTCTGGTATAGTTGGAAACATCATAGTGATCTGAGGAAAGCATTAGTGTTCAAGTCACAGGAAAGATAGGCCTGGACTAGAGGTGTTCTAACAGCCACGTGACTTGTGAAGAAGGAAAGTGAGAGACCTTGAAAGAGCCAGGTATTCCTAAGGAGTGCTTGCTGATGGTTCAAGGACAGGGAAGAACAGAGAGCCAGGTTGACCAGCACAACCTCACATGCCACGGTGTTAGGAAAGTAGAGTTGGACGGAATAGGTGGTAGAAAGTAAGTGTCAGAAGCACCAGACATGTTTTCTGAAAGCTATATTTAGGCTGGGGGAAGAAAAAGCAACAAGGAAGGAACAGGCAGATGGTGCAGTGTTCGCAAAGGAGGGGAACTGGAACTGCTTGGCTCCTGTTGTGCATATCCCTTATCTATCAAAAAAGATGTTCTTAAAAACTGAAAAGGGTACAACAAATGTGATTAGATGGTATTCTGAGTCTGTTTTTTGTGAGACTGATCTCAGCAAGTGTGGATCACAATGAATATTTGGCCCCTCATCAATTCCTTCAGAGGACAAATCTTTAAAAACAGCCCAAACATTAAATCAGGAGGGTTAGGGGAAACAAATATTATCTTTGAATTATAAATTAGAGAATCTTGAGTGAGATGAAATTAGGATAATTCTCATTTGCCCTTAGAAGAATCCTCAAGAGTTCTGTGTTGAAAGAATAAGTCTATTGATTTTTATTTGAAGCAAAGAAGTGAATTAAAAGCATTGTGGTAAACACTGGAAATGTTAACTTTTGTCTGTCTCTAAGGAACAACCTCACCAAATCCACAGTGGGGCTTGGAATTGAGTCTTACTTTGAATCGCATTGTTCATTTCGGTAATACAAGTCTAAATCCATACTACACACAGAACTAGGAGGAAGACAGGAACACAGCTCTGCACAGGAGCTTTTAGTGTTCAGTGTTAGAATTGTCAGCTCTCAACTCTGGCTGTGTCCTGGAAAAACCCTCAAGTCTGTTCTATTAGGCATGTTTCACAGGCAGGTGCCTTTTCTGTATGCAGGCTTCTGCAGGACTTGTCTGTAAGAACTTGCATGCAGCTCTTTGAAGAAGTGCCTGTTGCTGACTTATGCCAGTGACAGCACATGAGCAGGCCTTTATGTTAGGGGACACTTGCTAACATTTCCAGCTGCATGGGAATGTGTTAAATTCTGGTGTGTGCTCCACAGTAGAAGGAACACCTTTGTGGCACCCCAGTTGTTTTGTCTGACTTGACCATTGTTGAACTGCACTGATGGAATGAAACCTTTGGCCAGGTTTCATTGAATGATTCAGTGGTGTTTGGCATCAAAGATGTCTTAGGTTATTAAATGCTTTTGGATCCCTCAGGAGGGTTGAGCTGAAATTCTGATAAAGAATAAATAACAGGTTACGTTGATTTTTTTTTTTTTTTTAATTTTTCTTCAGTTTGTACTGAACTCAAACAAAGTTCTCATACGTTACTAGGTTGGAGACACGTATGGTAAGGATATAACGTCCAGGGGCAAAGACAAGCCGATTGCCGTATGTAAGACTTTCAATCGACTTAAGCCTCAAGCTTTATCTCTTCTCTCATTTCACTTAGTTTTCCTAGGAATTCTTATTGAACCTCAAGTTCCTTGAGTGTTTTGTTTGTAATTCACTCAAGGTGAGGTTTTGCTTGATGAAAAAAGCTTTCATTGGAGCGTGACAGGTCACCTACCAGCTTGATTGAAGCAGTTTCTGAACTGCTTGCTTCCCTCCTTCCAAGTGCAAGGAAGGGTTTGTGAGAGGGCCCCTTCTGGGCTGATTAGAGGAGGTGGTGTGAGAATCCACCTGGGAACTCACAGGGGTGGCTTCATGTTGAGCCTGGGCAGGACTAACCTTGCTGCCAGAGCATTCTCTCTTTGCTGTGTTGTCCTGTGTGGTGGGCTGTCTGGGTGGCTGTGTGGCACTGGTGAGCTAACCCACTCATGCTTTGAGATGGTTGCAATCAACTTGGATGCTGGGGTGCCCTGGTGATTCTTGGACAAGCTTGTGCATGAGCCAGTATTTAAACAATGTTATTCATAAAAAAGCTGTTGTATGGGATGTTTCTTTCCTTTTCAGGTACAAGATAACCAGCTGGATGGTTTAAAGTGCTAGCTTGGGAATTGTATGCATTTCAAAAGCAGCATAATTGCGTTTTTCTAGGGATATGTTTTATAATCCTAGCATTTTAGAAACTCTTGGGCATTTTTTATACAGGTAAATATTTGAATTTTACATTATGTGCAGTATTACATGGGAAGAAAAAGTCAAATATTTTCTGTCTAACCAGCAATTCTCTTCAAGTATTTACTCTGCGCTGCTTTTCCTTTGCATCTCTATTTAGCAACAGCTGCCCTGGGGGCAAGTTCTCCAGAGGCCCTGATTATGCTTGAGAGTCTGTGACTGTATCTAGGTGGTTCTCAGCTAGAAAGATGCTACTTCCACACTTAAATAACCCTTTGTTGGAGAGCGAAGGGTGGGGACAGCAAATAAGCCAGCCACTATTTTGTGGCCAGGGACTGTGACAGCAGTTTAATTGGAACTCAGTGATAATCTAAAAATGTTTGTACTTAACCTGCTATTAGAAAACTTAATGAAAAGCATATTGTTTGTAGCTAATGTTTTTAAAATTGACTCTGCTTTTGGGAAACTGAGAGATCATATTTTACAGAAGTATTGGAAGAGCACTACTGTACTTTTTTTTGCCTGTTTATAACAGATAATTAGGTCTCCAGTTGAGAGTTAGGGAAAAGAGGCCCCCTGGGGGTCTGATTTGATGCTTTCCCAGCCTCCAACAGCTTTCAGTATTTTCCTTCTCCCTTCCTTTCTCATAATTCACTAGTTGCTTGATGTGCTGGTTCTGATTTGGGAGTCGTCTGACAGACTGGTGGGGTGAGTGGGGTGAGCTGGCCTCTGACATCAGCTGCTGGTACCAGTAAGCACCGCACCCAATGACTCATTCCCAGCAGCCTTTAGGAAGCAAATCATCTTCCTCATTTTAAGGTTGTTTTCTGAATGCTTTCCTGTTTCCTTTTTATAGGATGTTTTCTTAATTTGCTTTTCCCTTGTGAGTCCTGCATCATTTGAAAATGTCCGTGCAAAGGTAAGTAGGATTTTGTTTTGTTTTTTTTTCTTTTGGTATTGAGGATTGAATCCAGGGGTGCTTTACTACTAAATTTACCTCCCTAGCCCTTTAGTTTTTAAATTTTTGAGACAGGATCTCACTAAGTTGCTATGGCTGATGTCCAATTTGTAATCCTCATGCCTCAGTCTCCTGAGCAGCTAGGATTATAGGCATGTAATGCTTATTTCTTTTAAATATTGGAAGGAACAATAAAAAAATATCATTTAGTGCTATGAATTTTCAGTTATTCAAATTGGTCTTAGTGATTTTATTTCTTGGGAACTTTATCAGGTTTATTATTATTATTATTATTATTTCTTTGTGGTGCTGGGGATTGAACCCAGGGCTTCGTGCATGTGAGACAAGCACTAACCAACTGAACTATATCCTTAGTCCCGTAATCAGTTTTTAGGCAATGCCTTTAGGATATAGATTTCTAAAGCTTCAGGTCTCATTCAGAAAATAAAGAACATCTTTGGAGTCAGTCTAATGACCATTTCTTTTTGCTTGTTCTTTGTCAATGTAGGGAGAGAGACCTTTTTGTTGTAATAATCAGGGACATTTTCAGGGTGGGCAATGGTGGCAGAGCCAGAGTACTCCACTAGGTAGTTTGTGTATTTTTATCCCTGAACAGATGATGAATTTTCTGAGATAATCCTAAGAATTGGATGTTTTCCCCCAAATAAAGTGATTTCCTCTGATTTTTTTCCTTCATGCCAGGAGTCCTGGCTTGCTAGGATTATTTCTTAACAGTTCTTTCAGGCTGAGCTGGAAGGTGCAAAGGACAGGCAGCAGCTGAAGTGGGGTGGTTGGCACAGTTTGGCACCTTAGTTGTAATTTAGGTCAAGGTCATCTGTGGAGGAGAATGGTACAGACTTTGTTCTTTTCACATCTAGTGGTATCCGGAAGTGCGACACCATTGTCCCAACACTCCTATCATCCTAGTGGGAACTAAACTTGATCTTAGGGATGATAAAGACACAATTGAGAAACTGAAGGAGAAGAAGCTGACTCCCATCACCTATCCACAAGGGTTAGCCATGGCTAAGGAGATTGGTATGAAATCCTGCATTTTCCTACCTGATCTGCATGTCTTTTACTCTAGTGAGAGGCTAAGGTTCAGTCTGGGGATGTAGAGAGAATGTATTTTTCCTGCTTAGGGTTGGCTTGCTTTTGGGGAACCAGCAAGGCCCTTCTAGGCCTTAGTGTTAGTTAGCCCTTGGGAGGTGGAGGTGGAGGTGGGGTTAGAGTTAGAGTTGGCTCTGCAGTGCCATGTCACATCAGCAGAAGAAGGTGCAGGGTTCCAGGGGAGCAGCCTTTTACTGCTGTCCTGATCAGGAGTCGTGTCGTGCCATGCTGAGTGTACATTGCTGTGTGGCTGTGTGTCTCGTAGGTGCTGTAAAATACCTGGAGTGCTCAGCACTCACACAGCGAGGCCTCAAGACAGTGTTTGATGAAGCTATCCGAGCAGTTCTCTGCCCACCTCCTGTCAAGAAGAGGAAGAGAAAATGCCTGCTGTTGTAAATGTCCAAGTCCCTCGTTCTTGATCCTGCCCCTTGGAACCTTTGTATGCTTTGCTCAAAAACAGTGGAGCCTTCGCACTCAATGCCAAGTTTTTGTTAAAGATTAATTTTTCCATAAAACCATTTTGAACCAATCAGTAATTTTAAGGGTTTGTTTTAAGTGTATGAGCTCAAACTCACATTCTATTAAAATTTAGCCCTAAAGTGACAAGCCTTCTTAAAGCCTTATTTTTCGAAAGTCCCTATTCTTGCTCAGATTAAGAGTTGCCAAAATACCTTCTGAACTAAATTGCGTTGTGCTGAGAACACTGAGCACTAAACTGTTGGGAGACCTTTGTCTAAGAAGACTGCGCTTCTGAAGTCAGGAGGTGCAGACGCTTTCCGAGTAGTTTGAGATCGTGTGAAGCAGCACAGCCTCCTTAATGAAATGTTGCCGTTTAATGCATCAGTAACTTATCAGCCCATGTTCACCACGTAACTGTACTGTATGTTGTAATGAAATGAGTATAACTCAGCTCTTTGGATAAGTTTCTGATTTCATAGTGAGGTTTTTTTTTTTTTTAATCAGTCGACTAGCTTTTGCAGAGACTTTGAACAGAACTCTCATTCACGTGTTTCTTCTAATGAAGTATTCTGTTCCTAGTCGTGGGTGTGCTGGGTGGAGTGTGTGAAACACGACGTGATCAAAGGATGAAGACAGTATTTTGACTAAATATAAGTGGAGATTAATTTACACTACATTGTACACAGAATAATTCAACTGAATAAAAAAGTGTCACGGGTAAAGATTTTTAAAGATTAATTTCTGTCAAATGCAGTAGATGAAGAAAGGTCGGTATTAAGTGTCTTTTCTTAAGCTTCTCCATTTTCCTATACTTGCCATCCCTCCCGGAATTGGGCATTTAATTCACTTTTGAACGGCCATTCCCATAGTTGCTAACTTAGTAAGTGCTTTTCTTATAGAACCCCTTCTTAATGAGCAATATGCCTCCTAATTGTACTATAAATCTTTCTGATAATGCATTAGTTTTTTTGTAGGTTAGTAAAAGTGCATTCCTGTTTTCATGTTACTTTATTCAAAGCTAATAAATGCTTTCCTTAGTTTTCTAGTAACTAGGTGTAAAAATCATGTGTTGCAGCTTTACAGTTTTTAAAATATTTTAGATATTCTTCAACTATGAACCTTCTTAACATCACTGTCTTGCCAGATTACCAACACTGTCACGTGACTAATACTGACCCTGTTTACCTCACACACACACACGGACACACGCTTCCTGTTGTGGCTTTGCCTAATGATGTTCCTTTGGGTCTGTGAGGTTCTGTAAACTGTGCTAGTGCTAACAATGTTCTGTACAACTTAAACTCACTGGCAAGAACACAATGTTGGACCTTTCAACCACTAGAACAAAATTTTTTAAATTGACAGTTGCAGAATTGTGGAGTGTTTTTACATTGATCTTTTGCTAATGCAATTAGCAGTATGTTTTGCATGTATGACTTAATAAATTCTTGAATCATATGACTGGTAATACTCGAATTTTTGAGAATTTGATGAACAAGCTCCTAGTGTGTCTCACTTTAAAGTGGATTTTAAAGTCCTGGAATGCTAGAGGCTTTCATTTTCACAGTGGATGGACAAAGGGAGTGTCACCTGCAGGGGAAAAGTGGGCGAGTCCGCAGCCGAACCATACACTGTGTGTGTGTGTGTGTGTGTGTGTTGGTGGGGGCGGGGAGTGGGGGTCATGTTTGGGCCTATTGAATTGCTGCAAGCTGTCCACGTGGAGATAGGCATGCTGGGATGCGTGTGTCCTAGGCCAGAGCTCAGGGCCAATATCCCAGTGTTGAGAGCTTGGTAGGGTGGGGGGTGGACTACATCACCTCAATCCTGTCTCAAACATACATAAAAAGTTGATGTTAGAATCAGTTTTCCTTGAAAAGTCTTATATTTTTGAGCTTTTTTTAAACCAAAGGTAAGTAAGCAGTTTTTAAAGATAAAAATTCTGAAAGTTTGTTAAAAAGAACAGCAGTCTCTTACTCCCTTCATGCCCTCTATAGGTAATACTCCAGGTTATTTTTGTAGTGCTGGGCACTGAACCTAGAGCCCTGTTTGCAAATGCTGTACCAATTGAAAATTTGATATTTACTACACACCTAAATTTATGCTTTTCGTGTTTGTTGAATCTTTCAGATTTACTCCCATGGTGAAAGACTTGAGGCTTTCTCTCCTTACTGCAACCCTACTCCTCAAACCTTCCCATTCTTGAAATACTGATTTTTTTTTTTTAAGCATCTATGTGATTATTGCTATATAGACTAACTACTTCTATTTTTCCCTTGTAATAACTCTGCCTTTCTTTTTTTCCCCTTCTTTTCCTACGTTTTTGGTTTTCTTTGGGATGTTTAATTTGGTTTTCTGTGTACTTATTTTTTTGGAGTAGGGTCCTGGGGATTGAACTCACTGAGCCACATTCCCAACCCTATTTTGTATTCATTTAGAGATGGGATCTTACTGAGTTGCTCAGTGCTTTGCCGTTGCTAAGGCTGGCTTTGAACTCAAGATCCTCCTGCCTCAGCCTCCTGAGCTTCCAGGATTACAGGTGTGGGCCAACACACCCAGCTTCTGTGTACTCACTGAAAGTTCAACAGTCAGCATCCATCTGTTGTCTGAGTCTCAAGATTTTCCTAAGTCTCAAAATCATTTGATGACATCCACCTCTTATATGTTGATCTTTTATTTCCTTCATCCTGATGAATAACTTTTCCAAGAGATTCCTGAGAACATGGGGGAATGGAAAGTGTGTATTTTTAAGCCTTTACATCTTTGAAAATAACCATTCTACTGTGATACTCATGGCCTGTTCTAAAATTTTAGATTGATAATTTATCTCCTGCTTTCAGTTCAGATGTTCTTTAACTCTTCACTGTTTAGCTCTTTAGGACAGTTTTGTGATGACAGCACTCTCTGGCCCCAGCTTCACCTTGCGTTTTGGAGCTTCAGCCTGTGTATTCTTTGTCACTTCTGTTCTTGTTCCTCATTGGTAAGGGAGCATGTGGTGGCACTAGGACAGCAAGTTAGTTCTCACCATCTGCCCCCAGGAAGTGTAGAAACTTGTGTTTTGAGGCAAACCTGGCAGCAGTGGAGTACTCTTATATTTGTCCCCTTCTCCCTTCAGAAGGGGGATTGAACCCAGACATGGCTGAGACAGCTAGGAGCCTACCTGAGCAAGGTCTCCAGAGGTCTGATTTGCCTGGCGTGTTCTCCCCGATTGTCCAGGGAGTACAGTGAGAAATTCTGAGGAAGGTCATTCCCTTTCCTCAATTGCTGATGCGCAGACCCCACCCTCTGCCCAAGAGCAAAGGGCCAGACCAGATTTTTCCTCCCCCTCAGATCCTTTGGACATAGCTGTTTTCACACCTGCTCAGTTCCTAGGAACCTGGGTGGTGAGCCAGCTAGCTCATCTTTCCTACTTGGGAATGGTTTTTTTTTTTTGGTACCAGGGACTGAACCCATGGGTGCTTAATCTCTGAACCACATCCCCAGCCTTTTTTATTTAGAGACAGGGTCCAAGTTGCTTAGGGTTTCACTTGCTGATGCTGGCTTTGAACTCGAAATCCTGCCTCAGCCTCCTGAGCCACGGGGATCACAGGTGGTCACAGCGCTTGGTTGGGAGTCATTCTTGAGCCAACCATTCTTGTCTCTAGCTTTCCCCCATCCTTGTGGGTTTATGCTTTTCAGAGAAATTCCTCAACCATCATTTATTGGGTGTCTTGTGGGTGAAACGGGGTACTTGTGCATCTTTAATATTTAGCCAGAATGCCCAGAAAATCTAAGATTTCATTTTTGTTTACAGTAGGCAGAAAAAGCCAATACTTAAAACAATTGCTGTAAAACAACTCAGTAAAGCAAACCTACCTGGAAATACTACTCATGGTGTGCAAGTACTTTATTTTTTAAACTTCTGAACCCACTGGCTGGCCTCAGAGCCAAAATAATACATGAGAATCAAACTATCAACTCTCGCTGTTTAAACACCCAGGTGGTGTAAACACAGGCAGAGCCATAGGCTGAGGGAGCAGGAGTGGCCTTTGCTTACCTCCCGACCTGGCTCATCTTCATTTGAAGACAGAGCTCAGGGCTGCCCTTAGTACCCTGAGATATGGAAAAATAAACTATACACCTGTCATCCAAGTTCAGACCCACCTAAGTGGTAGCAGGACAAGACCCTGAGTGGGGGAAGGCTACAGTCCATTTAGGGTCTTCAAATGCCGTTGGATTCCTGCCCTTTTGGGGCCGTTCTTAGGTGGCGTGGGTCGGGGAGCTGCTTCCACCTGGCTTCCCCACATTGCTGTCTTGGCAGCCCCGTAGTCTTGGCACGCTTCCCTGACTCCTGATCCTGCTGCCACTATGATCAAAAGTAGTTCCAACGGACTGTTGAGTCATCTTGAAGCTCATTAAATTGAGTACCCATCAGATTCCTGTCAGTGGGCATCCAGTGTACTGGCATCATGGAAGTTATTTGCGCATTAAGTTGGTTTAAGAATTAATGTATGAATCCATTGTTCTGGGGCCATTCCCAGGATACCTGATTATACCACATCTGTATTAGAGACCCCTTGTCCTGGACAGGAGAGACAGGCTGCTCTGTCGGCCACCATGCTGTCCAAGGCTCTCATCAGGATGTCTGGCATGTGGTCTGTCAGCATCTTTGGGCCTATGAGTATTTTGCTGAATTCTGCTTCATGTGACCACCTTGCTCTATACCGAGCAGCAGCCCAGCAGCCAAACCTTCAACAGAGAAGAAAATACTAGCTAGTGAGCGTTTCTTGAGTTTGGTCTCCAGCACACGCTTTCTTCCCCTGGTGGTGAGTGCAGACCTGCACACCCTCACACTCACCTCCCTGAGTTGCCCTCTTCCTCCAGGTGGATGATCCTGCCAGGAGGATACAGAGGCGGGTACTTGGGTGGAGAGTCAAGTGGGGAATCACTGGAGGAGCTGTATGCTGGGGACCAGTGTGTCAGCAGACTCTGCTCCCCAAGAAGAGGCTGTGTCAGGTCTCCCTGGTCACCCCCATCCAGTTCGGTTGGGAAGTTATCAGGGTTCCCTCCAAACAGTTCGTACCAGCAGCCTTGCAGCAAGATCTTGTACTGAGGGCGAGAACCAAGACAGAACATTGGTCCTCTGAGGATCTGCCACCCTTACCAGAGGGATCTCACGGGACTGCTAGGTGGCAGCAACTCTCAGGTTCAGGAAGTTCTCTCAGCCAAACCACCTAAACCAGTGTTGGGTGCCTCTTGCGTGATAAAGCCAACATACTTGTAGCAATATTTAAAAACTATATTATGCATATTTTGATGAGAAAAATCACTGTTTATTTTGGTGGTGCTGGAGATGGGACCCCTGGGCCTTATGCCTTAATTCTTTTCATGAAATTTTGCAAATTAGTTTTACCCTGCCCTTAAAGATACTAGATACTAGTTTTTTTTTTTCTTTCTCTCTTTCTCAGGGTTGTGGGGAGCTAAAGATTGAACCGAGGGCCTTGCATATGCTCTTCCACTGAGCTACACCCCAGCCTTTAGAAACTACTTTCTAGGAAATTTGGAGAGGATGGCTGATACAAGGATAGTTTAGTTTTTTTCCTAATTAGCAACAAATCAAAAAAAAGTTGAAGTTAAAGAACTGAAGACACCTCTGCTGTGTGGGCTGTGATGGAAGGGGGGCCTCAGCTGTTCTTCAGGCACCTGAAGGCTATTTTTGCTAAAATCTCTGACTTCACTTGGGCCTACAAGTATCAAATGGGTGACTGGGATATGACCACTTGGCATCTCTGCCTTCATATTGTGTCTTTCTCCTTTGCTGCCTTAATCTTTGGGTCAGATTTTACTCAGCTTTGCATATAGACATATTGATCATCTGAGGAATGTTTTGTCCAGAACTATAAGGTTGATTTGACTTGAATTTGCCTAATGTCTGTGTCTGTCTGTCTCCCTACTCTAAGGCTAAAGACATATACCAGCTGCCATGATTGGAAAAACTGGACCATAAAAGGAATAAAAAGAGGTGGCACCTGAGTTCTGGAAGATCTTTACCTAATCTCAAAAAAGTCACGTGTTCCTCCCCTTTACTACCCAGTCTCTCACCATCATTAATCCTACCTGTGTCTGTAACCCTGGCCCCCTTAAGTGGAGAAGCTGATTCATGAGCAAAGCTCCCTCTTTTCCATTCTTTGGCTACTGAATAAAGATTTATTTCTCCTGTCAAAAAAAGAAAAAAGTGGGCTGGGGTTGTGGCTCAGTGGTAGAGTGCTCGCCTAGCACGTGCAAGGCCCTGGGTTCGATCCTCAGCACCACATAAAAATATATTGTGTCCAACTACAACTAAAAAAATAAATGTTTAAAAAACAAAAGAAATGATCATCTGCAACTCCATTATCCAAATAAGATCACATTTTGGAATTTGGTATATATTTTTCAAAATTTTAGTCAAAACCCAATCATACATGTCTATAAATAGCTCCTTGTCTCCTCTAAAATTAATTAATCTACAGCCGTACTAGGGACTGAATCCAGGGATACTTTACCATTGAGTTACATCCCCAGCCCTTTTTAGTAATTTTCAGACAGGGTCTGAATTGCCCAGGCTGGCCTCAAACTTGCGATCCTCCTGCCTCAGCCTTCTGAGATGCTAGGATTACAGGCATGTACCTGTTTTTTCAGTGCTGAGAATCAAACCCAGGGGTTGATGCATGCTAGGCAAGTGATCTACACTCCCGGCTTCTATCACTGTCTTTACAACTGCATAATATCTATAATGTGGACATAAAATCTGATTTAGCAGCCTTAAAATCTATTTTAAAATCTTATTTTCTTAAGCACAGACAGTATTTCCAAAAGCACCAGAATAGTCACAAAACAGGCCTAGGAAGTCTGGCAGAAGGCAAAACACTTCAATAGAACAGGATTATTCTGTTACAGTACTTCCTAACTGGCATTTCGTGTACTTGCTTTAGCCATTTGCTTTCTTAGGTATCAAAGTCCTGGACAAAAATCTGTTCAGAGGGCAGCAACAGAATTTAGGGCAACAGCTTAAAGTACCCTCCCTGAGGCTGAGTCCAGAGAGCTCCTGAGCTCCATAAGGTCTCTCCCTGCAGACCCTCTTAACACTGGTGCCCAGATTACCTTAGGCTTATTAGAGTGAGCAATCACTCGCAAGATCCTTTTCTTCAGATCTTCCAAGTTGGTCACACTTAACCTGTTTAGCAAAAGATGAGATTCAGACTCAGTACTCAGTATTTTCAACTACCCCAACCCACTGACCAACCATCCAGCACACTGACCTGGGAATCACATCCTTTCCCAGGACAAGTGACACAATGAAGTCCTTGGAGTACTCGTAAAGAGATTTGCTGAAAATTTTAAACAAGAGGCCAAGTCAGTCTTCTGCAGTTTCAGAGAGAAAAAAGCAACACTGCCAGGTCAGTGGGAGGTTGGTATAGCTCTTCTCTGGCCTCCAGGGGGGAGAAGTGGCTTGAGCCAGAGCAGCTCTCGCCAGGTTCTATTAGAGCCACACGGACATTCAATGAAGACTCCACAGCAAAGCGTCAGACTGGATCCAGAGAGCAGACCAAAGTACATGTTGACCTTTGGCCCTGCCACCCCACCTAGCAGAATCTACCTAAGAATGTAAGAGGCAAGAATGTAAGAGGACAGGCAGAAAGCTATTCATTGTGGTGCTACTTGAAAAGCAGAGGCTGGTCACCACCCAAACATCTGTCCACAGAAAACTGGGTCCAGCCTATAACCATCCAGTTGAGTTCTCTACTGCCGTGAGACAGGGTTCTGGGTACTGTTATGGTGCACTCAAAGATTATGCTGTTGGGGCTGAGGATGTGGCTCAAGCCGTAGCGCACTCGCCTGGCATGCATGCGGCTCGGGTTCGATCCTCAGCACCACATACAAAGATGTTGTGTCTGCCGAAAAACTAAAAAAAAAAAATAATACTAAAAAATTCTCTTAAAAAAAAAAAGATTATGCTGTTGAAGTTAAAGGAATAAAAATGAGGCACAAGAGCAGGTATAATAGCTGCCTTTAAGAAGAGGGCCGGTTGGGGCTGGGGATGTGGCTCAAGCGGTAGCGCGCTCGCCTGGCGTGCGTGCGGCCCGGGTTCGATCCTCAGCACCACATACCAACAAAGATGTTGTGTCCGCCGAGAACTAAACAATAAATGTTAAAAATTCTCTCTCTCTCTCTCTCTCTCTCCACTCTCTCTTTAAAAAAAAAAAAAAAAAAAAAAAAAAAAAAGAAGAGGGCCGGGGCTGGGGCTCAGTGGCAGAGCGCTTGCCTAGCACTTGTGAGACACTGGGTTGACCCTCAGCACCATATAAAAAAGTAAATTAAAAAAAAAGTTGAAGATATGCTTGATATATGATAATAAGGAAAAGTAAAAAATCAGACAGTTACTTCTGGAATGAAAGAAAGGACATTTTTGAGGGAACAGGATAGAAACTAAATTTCTCTGAATGTATCTGCTCTGTAGGGTTGTCTCTGGAACCATGTTAACATTTTGTTAATGTAATAATTAACATAATTAGAACATAATCAAATAACACAAATAATCTCTAAAATCAAAAACCAAATGGGATACATGAATCAGTTATTTCAAGTGACTTTAAACAACTGCAATTTGATCGTATATCCCTAGCAGGAGTAGATCCTATGAACAAACTAACTGCAAAGAACTCTGGAGCTACTTCTGATACTCACACTGTTGGAAGCTACATTAGTGTTACTATTCTCAATCCCTGATCTCTGTGTTTATACACACACCAGGAGAAGGGTTTGAACAAAACCATTCCCTGCCTCTTTCTGCTGAAAGGAGCCACAACTGACCCTGCATTACAGTCTCTTAAGTCCTGTTTTCCACAACAGGAACTGACACTCCTTGAAGTATGATTGATTCCAAATTTGAACAGAGAAAAAAACCATTAAGGCCATTTTAAGCCCAAAAGTTTAGGAGAGTTTGTTTTATCAGAAAGTGAGAAAACTAGCCGACAAATGGGGTTGGTCAAAGGCTGGAGAAACCAATCTGAAGGGACTCCCTGTGGCTGTGGCTGTGGCCGTGGCCGTGGCCAGGACAGCTCATATGTTGACAGGCTAAGGAGTCAATGTGGCCAGGGACTGTTTCCCAGCAGTGCTAGGTGGAAAGATCCCAGCATTTATGTATCTCTCTTGAATTTCCTGTACAAACTACGTACTTCAAAGTAAGCGATATTTGCAGATAGGTTTTGTCATACGGACAGGAAGTGCACCCTGAATCTGATCAAATCCTTCAGTATCATTTTCAAAGAACTACAAACAACCTAGGTGAGAGAGATAATGTTCAATGGCACTATGGATATATATCCAGAAGGGGACAAGTTCTTCAGCACACATGACGTGGTTTCTTCAACAAATACAGAAGAGAGGGTAAAATCTGTATGTTAAAAGACACAGGTACAGCCGGGAACAGTGGAGCACGTCTATAATCCCAGCGGCTCGGGAGGCTGAGGCAGGTGAATTGCGAGTTCAAAGCCAGCCTCAGCAAAAGTGAGGTGCTAAGCAACTCACTGAGACCTTGTCTCTAAATAAAATACAAAATAGGACTGGGGATATGGCTCAGTTGTCAAGTGCCCCTGAGTTCAGCCCCTGGAACCCACCTCCCTCCAAAAAAAAGACAGTTGCAAGGCAAATGCACCATATACAATGTAAGAACCTTGTTTTGGATACGAATACAGACAAACCAATTGTAAAACATTTAGGAGATAGCTGGGGAAACGTGTTTCTATTACTAGATATTAAGACATTATTAAAAAGAATTAAAGCTGGGTGGCTGGGTGCAGTGGAGCATGTGCCTGCAATCCCAGTTACTCCAGAGACTGCAGCTGTAGGATCTCAAGTCTGAGGCCAGCCTGGTCAACTTGGTGAGACCCCATCTAAAAAATAAAAAGGGCTGGGGATGTAGCACAGTGGTAGAGTGCCCCTGGTTCAATCCCCAGTTCACCCCCCAAAGCAAAACAAAACAAAATTACCAAGCCCTTTATCTTTTCTTCTTCTTCTTTTTTTTTTTTTTTTCTTTAGAGTTTTATAGTTACATGGAAATCAGTTTCAGTTTGTGATCCCCCTTTCTCAGCCCCTAACCCCTTTATGTTTTACTTATATTAGGGTTATTTACAGATAAAATGATATGCTCTCTCAGATTTGCTTCCAAGTTAACTCAGCTGTGGGGGATGTGGGAAGCAGGGTGAAGGTACATAAAAAGATGAGCCATATGTTGATAGATTACTGTACTGAAGCTAATTAAATAGAAGCTCACACAATGAACTCTCTCTACATGAATTTTTGGGATGAGGTTTCAGGCCCACCTTAAACTCCTAGGCTCAAGTAACCCCCTACTTGCCTCAGCCTCGTGGTAGCTGGGACAACAGGCACATACACTGCACCAGCTATGCTCCCTACTCTGAGTTTTTAATTTTATTTAAAAAATTGTGGGGCTGGGGTGTAGCTCAGTGGTAGAGCACTTGTCTACTACATCTAGGCCCTGGCTTCCATCCCTAGCACTGGGGGGGGGGGGGAGGAAGGATCTTTTATCTCTTCACTTTTCTATATTTTCCCAATTTTCTATAATTAGGCACAAGGCCCTTTTTTATTCTCTTATTTTTTATTCTTAATTTGTCTTTTTTTTTTTTTTAACCGTAGTACAATTAAAAAAAAATAATCAGGGTGAAAGGTTACAGAGGACAGTCCAATCAGAATAATGAATCAGCAAAGAAAAATACTTTGTAAATTCATAAGAATGTCATTATTTATCCAGATCCATAGAATGTACACGTCCAAGAGACTCTCTAACACAAACTATGGATACTAGCTGACAGAGATGTGACAATGTAGGCTTATCAGAGGCGACAGGTGACAGCTGGGGGTGCTGACAATGGGGGAGGCTTGCAAGTGTGGGGGAGACAGGGACTTTCTGTACCTTTGCTCAATTCAGCTGTGAACCCAAATCTGCTCTAAAAAATAGTCTATTATAAAATGAATCTTAGATTTACATCATTTCAGCTCAGGAGGCTAAAGCGGGAGGATCAAGTTCAAAGTTAGCCTCAGCAATTTAGTGAGGCCCTAAGCAACATAGTAAGACCCTGTCTCAAAAAACGGCTGGGGATGTGACTCAGTGGTTAAGCACCTCTGGGTTCAATCCCTGGTTCCCTAAAAAAGATAAGTGGACCAGACAGCTTGTGGGTAGCCCCTGTTAAGCGCCGGACCGCATGGCATTACCTTAGCAGCCCTCGGGGTGGGGAGAAGGCATAGGCCCGGACTTGTGGGTAGGAGCTCCGGAGCATGATGGCCAACAGGGCAGCTGCTCCTGCGCCCAGGCTGTGCCCCACCACAACCAGCCGGTATTCCTGGAGGACGAAGAGCAGAGTGAGTAACTGCGAACAACACACGGCTAAAGACAGGGGAAGGAAAGAACAAAACAGGATCTCACGGGAGCGACGCTGAATGCTTGGCTCAGAATCCCATCATTGATGAGTCGTCGGTAAATGTATCTGGCAGCCTGAGCAATGCCCTGAAACAGACAGGCAGGTCAGCACGGCTCACACACAGGACCCCACAGTGTGCACTCACTGCTGACCTCCCCAACAGGACCCGACCCAGCGGTCAGGGGCCCTCCTGTTCTCTGCTGCCTTCCTGGCACCTGGGCCAGACCCTGGCATGAAACAGGTGCTCACTACATACATAGTCGATTATAAAATGAATAAAAAAAATAATCAGGATGCCCCCAGGTGTGGGAGACCAACCTTACACATGACTGAGTGCTGAGGTGCTCAGTCACAGAAAAGAGGCAGACTGTCCACTTTTGAACAATGTTAAAGCTTACAATACAGTTATCTTTTAGTTTTATTTTTGGTACTGGGGATTGAACCTAGGGATGCTTAACCACTGAGCCACATCCCCAGTCCTTTTTATTTTTTATTTTGAGATAGGGTCTTGCTAAGCTGCTGAGGCAGGCCGAGACCCTCCAGTCTCAGCCTTCTGAGTCACTGGGATTACAGGTGTGTCATCATGTCTAGCTACAATACAGTCCTTAACCAATGACACCGAGTATCCCCTGGCTCTACAAAGGCCAAAAAAAAAAAAAAAAGTTCATCAAAAGTGAGTTCTAGGAAGTTCAGGTTTGGGCTTAACTCCAAAGAATAAATTCTAAAACTTTCTAATACAGCTATTTAGCTGTTTTACATCAGAGGCTCCTTGAATTATGCAGTCCCAACAGAGGAGACAACCCTGCTGGCCAGTCCACTTGTGGACAGCCTTCTCATGACAGTTTCTCTGCCAGGCCCCAGACAAGAGGGCCTTGCCCTGTCCTTGTGTGGCTCACAGTCTATGAGGAGGAGGGAAGATGGGAGACTGATTGTGATCATCTCTACAACAGCTGCAAATAAGATTGCGTAATGTGCTAATTCTGCAAGCAGAACACCACACAGGATGGATCAATCGGAAGCTCTGACACTCAGGGCTTCCTGACCCCAACTCCAGACTGCCCCATGGTTCCCTCTAGGCGCTGTTTATCATGTTCCTACCCTTGGCTAGTTCTGCACACAGAGCCAAAGAGACCGTGGCACATGGTAACAAGGGAATGCCGAGATGGCTCCCGGAGGCACGGGGCTGGGCTCTGACCACTGAGGACAGCGGCAGGGCCAAGAGCAGACAGCAGGCCTGGGGCAGCGGCGCTCCAGCCGGAGGACGAACTGTACTGGAGATGGCAACTGGTGTGAGGCAGAGGCCTTCGCTTGTGGTCACAGAAAGCCTTTCTCTGAAAAGAGCCCATGAGTTCTGAAGGCCTCCAGGGCTCCCTGAGGTGTTCAAAATTCTTCACACACACAATAACAGTTAAACTGCAGTCTTTTGTGAATTGATGCACAAAAGGACAGCTAAAGGTTAAAGAAAAAATTCCCACTGGGAGTGTCTCCGGGCAGAGCCCTTGCCCAGCACGCTTGAGGCTCAGGTTCAGTGCACAGCCCTCACTCACACTCACACTCGTCCATTTTAAGTGATGACTACAGAAGTAGCACCTGTTCATAACAAGGATATAAAAGCAAGTCAAGTCCTTGCCTTCCTCTGACCTTTGGAAGTGAGTCATTCCAACTTTCCCTAAATGTTAACAAACTGCTCTGCAAACGTCATGAGTCATCAGGGAAATGCCAACCAAAACTACAGCGAGATGCCGCTTCACACCCCCAGGACAGCTATCATCAAAGCCTGCAAATAACAAGTGCTGACGAGGAGGCAGAGAAAATGTAAAATGCCGCAGTCACTGTGGGCTCACTTGTGCTTCCTCACCTTCAAACACAGGATCAGCACACGACCCAGCAACTGCGCTCCGAGGTACCAACCCCAAGATTGAAACGAAAGGAGGAACTTGAACAGATGTTTGCACACCCATGTTTACAGCCATACCAGTCACAACAGCCAAAGGTGGACACACCTCAAGTGTCCACGGGCGGGTGAGTGGGTGGACGAAGCGAGCACAGCCATACGATGCACAATTGTGAAGATTTAAAAAGAACGAAATTCCGATACATTCCACAATGTGGATGGACCCTGAACACTGTACTAAGTGAAAGAAGTCAATTGCAAAAGGGCAAACCTGGACGAATCCACCTACGTGAGGTTCCCAGAACACACAAATCCAAAGAGACTACACAGGACAGACGTTCCCAAGGGCTGCAGAGGGGGCTGTTAGTGTTTAATGCGTACAGACTTTATGGTGGGGATGATAAAAAATTCTGGGTAGAGGGCTGGGGCTGTAGCTCAGTAGTAGAGCACTTGTGTAGCATGCGTAAGGCACTGGGTTTGATCCTCAGCACCACATAGAAATAAATAAGTAAAATAAAGGCATTCTGTCCATCTACAACTACAAAAAAATATTTTAAAAAAATCCTGGGTAGAGATAGTGATGATGGGTACACAGCATTATGCAAACACTTAATGCCACTGAATTGTACATTTACCAATGGTTAAAATTAGTCAGGTGTGGTGGTTCATGCCCCTAACCCCAGCAGCTTGGGAGGCTGAGGCAGGAGGATCACAAACTGAAGGCCAGCCTCAGCATCTCAGCAAAACCCTTTATAAAAAAAATAAAAAGGGCTGGGGATGTGGTTAAGTGGCAAATTGCCTCTGGGTTCAATCCCCAGTACCCCAAATATAAAACAAATGGTTAACATAACAAATATTATGTATATTATTATGTATATTTCACTATCACCAAAGAAATGAAAAAAATAGAATACTATAAGCATGGTTTAAAAATCTAAGGCTGTGCTCCGCGCGCGTGGGGGCTTCTTTGTCCCATCAGGTGGTGCTCCTGTGCCCCACCCCACGGCACAGTGAGAAACGGAGGCCCTGGCTCCTGACACATCCAGAGAACTTGTGAGATAGTATGCGGCACTGCCAAGGTGTCCCTGCCTCTGTGGCAGGAGCTCTTTCTCTGCTGCTCTGTATTGCACAAGAGCTTTGTCACCGTGACAGTGGACTCTAATTAAGAGGGAAGGAAAGCCACAGCGTTTCTGGCTCACACGCCCAGTCTGACACTCCAATAACTATGTGGCTTCATAAGTTACTCCGCCTCTTTGACCCAGTTTCTAAAACATATACACACGCCACCCGTAGGTCTGGTGCGGGGACCACGACAGTAAGAACTAGCACTTGCTGTGCGCGGCAGCTGGCATGTGGTGACTGTCACTCCATTAGCGCTGACAGAACCTGCGACTCCACTGTACCTTGTGTGCCACACAGTCCTGCACCTCAGCCTCCAGGTGGAGGCTCTCGCTCTCTGCAGACAGATCGGTGAGGATGTCCTATAAAAAAGGCACAGACAGGAGAAGTGTCAGCCTGTGGTGTGCACTCATGTCCTCTGAGGGATAGTGGGTGGCAGGCTCCTGGTCAGATTGCTTATAAGGGACCCTGGGATGCTTGACCTCAGCAGAAATGCCCACGAGTCAGGCAGGCCCGGAGGCCTTGAGGGCAGCAGCTTGGAACAAGGCATGTACCTGAAGGGACTGTGGGTACATCCAAGTCATCCTATACCCAACAGACTGTACAGAGTCCATAGACCCTCAGAGCACAGAGCCTGTACCAGGTTTTTTTTATCTTATTTTTTTGGTACCAGAAATTGAATTCAGGGGCACTCAGCCACTGAGCCACATCCCCAGCCCTATTTTATATTTTATTTAGAGACAGAGTCTCACTGAGATGCTTAGTGACTCCATGTTGCTGAGGCTGGCTTTGAATTTTCGATCCTCCTGCCTCAGCCTCCTGAGCTGCTGGGATTATAGGCAGGTGCCACCATGCCCAACTGTATCAGGATTTTGAACAAAGCACTGCTCCTGTCCTGAGGCCCACAGTCAAGAGCTAAACTCTGGCTGCTTGCTGGGATGAGGCTCCACACCTACACTGCACAAAGCCCCTCAGGTGATCTGCATGGGCTTCATACTAAAAGCAGCAGGAAGCATGGGCAGTTTTTGAAAAGGATGGGAAAGGACACACTGGGAAGATGAGAGCTGAGACAGGGATGGAGATGGGGCCTTTCCACTGTAAGAGGAGGCCTGGACAGAATGAGGGCCATGGTGCTGGGAACAGAGGACATGGCCAGAGGCCAGGGCTAGAACTTCACACAGAATGGACGGGGCAGTGACCAGAGAAAGCAAGGACAACTCCATTGTTTCTTCAGGAGCAACTGGGGGGTGCTGGCAGAGTGGGCATAAACAGGAAGTCCTGAGGAAGCTCAGGCCTGGGAGGGCGGAGGGTCCTGGGAGACCCAGATGGCCTTGAAGGTGCAAGTATGGGGTGCTGGGAACCAGGTGCGGGCACCCCAGAGTTGGCCCACAGCAGAAGAGGGCTGAGGGCACAAGCTGTGGAGTCTCAGTACATTTTATGGGTCAGCAGAGAAGTATGAGGAAGTGAGAGAGAGGAGCAGTCAAGAAGGAACCGGAAAGCACGCCGAGAGAGGGGAAGAAATGCTGCTCTGGGATGGAGAACAAGGGAGGGGCCGCTGGGCAGGGGGAGACCAAGGGGGCCTACAGCTGCCTGGGGACTGGCAAGAGGACTGGGCCAGTGAGGAACCGGAAGAGGAACTTGGGAAGCATCATGTGACTTTCAACAGCAAGACTCAACTAGTCCTCTCTGGCTATGGGCACAGGAGATTTGAGGGGTGGTCCCTTGGGTTTGGGGCCTTGGCCACATATCCAGGCAAGTTTCAGAAGGGGAACTAAACAGGTGCTCCTCTCAGAGCCCCCCTAGATGGGGACGAACCTGCTGGCATCTCTGCTCCCAACAATCCCACAGTGTTTTGAAAAGGGAGCATTTCACAATTCTGGATTTGCTTCCGCATTTTCTGTCAGGGCGTTTCCCTGTGGTTTTGCTGTTGCCTAACAACGTTTCCTTCATTTTGAGCGAGGGTGCCTAGCTGATCTGTACTCCCTGCTCCCAGCACAGTCCCTCCACCCCCACCCCCGTCTAATTTGTCAGGGTCCAGTGTTACCTGGAGAGACATGGTCCCTCTCACAGCGACCACGACGGCCTCCTTCCTGTGGTCCAGAGCCACCAAGAAGGGCAGCTCATACACCTGAAGGATGAGAAACAGTGTGAGGCCTACATAATGGAAACATGCACCTAACGATACAACGTTAGAACATGTCTGCATCCCTTGCAATTGCCACAAGAAACCTGGAGGAAACACATCCACCTCGTCCTCATCAACCAGGGCTCCACTTGACACTACACACCAAAGGCCTTCATTAAACACTCAACTGTCATGACCAGCGGTTTTCTTTCTTAGCCTCTCTCACCCCTGCCAGTAGGTCAAATCTACTGTGAAGCTCCCTGGTGGGTTCAAGGCTCACTTCACCTCCCTCATCTGGGTCCCGGCAACAATGATCGTTCATTCGATGGATAAATTCAGTCTTGTGCTGAGCAGCTACAGGCCATCCCTGGAGGCCAGGACCACAGGTGCTAGCCACCAGATTCTCAGGCTGCACTATCTTGTCACCTACTGGAGTCAGGTGAGACAGCATGGTATCTCTGATGAACCCTTTATGTTCTACCTTGTGTTAAACCTGGGTTTTAAACCTGGATCCATGGACTTGTGTGAGAGTCAAGGGGGGGTTTGTGAACTCCTGAAACAGTACACAAGAATTGGGGTGAGTGTGTGTCTCTGAATTATATAAAGGATAATTCCTAATTCCCACTGGAATCTCAAAGGACTCTAGGATGCAAAATTAGTTAAGAGCCCCTGTTTGATACTGCACCTTGTCATGAAAGCTTATGTGAATGAAGTCCCTGTATTGTAGCCTCGTCGTTTGCAGGATGGAGCTGAAATGGCAGTTGAGCTGATCACCTCCAACCAAGTCATATTCTGTTGTTCTGCTTCTGCAACTAAAAAGAGGGCAAAGAGGTTACGGAGGAGCTGTTCCGAGCTGAGGGAGACTATGCAGAAGAGTTGGGGCTGCAGATGGTGCGCAGTGGCACAGCTCTTGCCTTCCACGCACGAGGGCTGGGTTCTGTACCCAGCATGCAAACAAAAAAGGGAGCTGTGACAACCACAGTGAAAAGTACCATCCCCGGTGGAGGAAAAATCATGAAGAGGGATATTACTGATTGCAAATTAGTTAATAATCAGAGATAAACTTCTTCAATTTTATTTTACAATTTTATTGGAGGTCTGTAAAAGAATGTCCTGAGAAAATTCAGGCTGAAGTAAAAAAGCATGGAGTAATAAGTAAATCTTGAACGGTTCAGGGAAAAAGAAATATGCCCATGGAGAGAGGCTGACAGAGTACACATGGGATGAGTCAGAACTGGTGGCTCCAGATAAAGGATTGAGGGATGTCTTTGGTCACCTTTGTTGCTTTTTTTTTTTTCCCTTCAATACCAGAGATCAAACCCACCAGGGATGCTCTGCCACAAAGATATATCCCCAGCCCTCCCCTTTTTACTTTGAGACAGGGTCTATGTTAAGTTGCCTAGGCTGGCCTTGAACTCAATCCTACCACAGCCTCCTGAGTGGCTGAGATTCTGAGGTGTGTGCCACCATGACCAACTTGAAAACTTCTGATTTCAAAATAAAACTTTCTTTTTTTTTTAAAAAAAGGACAAATGTGGACATGGAAGCCTCACCCCAAGCCAACCTACCAGTCACCTCCAATCTTGCACAGTCCTGTAAATGGGTTTCTATAAATGTAGAGAGGCCACCCATAGGCAGCTGCTGCAAACTGCATATAATGATGGCAATTTTCTAATTCTGCATCCAAATCAGCTTCCTGTAAGAGAAGGGGGGGAAAAAAAAAGCTTTCATTTAGAGGAACTCATTACAGGGAGGATGAACACACTAAGATCTTAAAACTGAGAACTCTAATTCCTCATTCTTCCCACTCTTTCCTCACTGACCAGAACTCTCAGAGAACTTCTGCAGGGAAAATCAATCCTTAAATACAGACTAGATGGACCCCAAAACGCAGGGAGTACGGAGGGAGCTAACATCAAAAAGACCGAGGATTCTTCTGACTCCTGCCTGGAGACATTAGCAAGGTTCTAACTGCAAGAGGTACTGCCAAGAAATGGGTGTTTCAGCAAGGAGCAGGGAAACACAAGTAGTCTGTTTGCAGTTTTCACTTTTGAAAGCATAAAAATCTATGGCAGATGGGGCTAGGGCTCAGCAGTAGCGCACTTGCCTGGCATGTGTGAGGCACTGGGTTTGATTCTCAGCACCACATACAAATAAATAAAGGTCTATCAAAACTAAAAAAAAAAAGAAAATTTTAAAAATCTATGGCAGAAAACCACCATAAAGCAAAGATGAACTATTTCTATCCCTCAGAGAAGAAAGCACGCACCCCCAGGAGGTAGGAACCAGGCTCAAGTCCCACCCTAGAAGGAATTTTTCTGGTACACAGAATCCAACAGTGAGTTTCCTAAAACAGAGGGCCTTGAAAACATGATGGATGGTAAATTGGCTGAGAATGGGCTTCCACCTCCTGGACTCCAGATGAGGAGCTGCCTCACAGACAGGTGATAAAGTACAAGGAGAAGCCACAAACTGGATTCAACTGCTATTGAAATTGCTTGTGGCTAATTGTGTCTCTTTGAAGATCAACACAGAGGTGTGAGTGTCAAAACTGTCAATCCAACAGAAATTCAGGGTTACCTGGGAGTCCCCTGGGGAGTGGCTGATCACCTCACTAGGCTCCTGGCTGTTGCTCACATTGTCCTGTTGCTGGTGGAGAAGGGCGAGACCCGCCGCGATGTCACTGGGCACCAGATCTGTGTCCTGGGAAAGAAATCAAAATGGCCCGTCATTAAAATCCAGCAGGAACTACCCAGTAACTCCTTAAAATTCATTTTACACTATTTACAGGCACATGTGGACACACATAGATATAATGACATGTACAAGTCATTGAAGAAGCAATTTCCTTGTAGGACTCTTTCTATATGTGAGCTTAATATTTTTTCATATCTTGTTCTCAGACAAATCTACAATTATTCGTTTTAAAACTTCCACTTCAAGTGACTTAACTATTTCTAGTCTATTTTAAATCTTTTATAAAGTCGAGGAGTAAATGGGTAAATCCTCCACCATTTTAGTAATGCACAATTTGAACCCAAGCTTACACCATCATTTCAAGTTGGTGTGAAAGTTTTTTAAAAAGTATTTTTTTAGTTGTAGATGGACACAATATCTTTATTTTATGTATTTATTTTAATGTGGTGCTGAGGATCAATCCTAGTGCCTCATGCATGTGAGGCAAGTGCTCTACCACTGAGCCATAACTCCAGCCCCGCTGTAAAAGTTTTGTTAAAACAGTCTACAGCAGAGATTTACGAGGCTGAATGTATGCTTACTGGGTGCAGCATACAGTAAAAGAAACCCCAAACAAGAAAAGCAACAGAGCTGTCCTCTGGAGTCTGACCTTACCCCTTACCCTTTTTCTTCAGGACAGATATGGAGGAGCAGAAGTCCTCTACCAACAGCAGGCACTTCTAGCACACAAGAAAGGACCATGTACTGGTCATTGGGCCTCTGGGTCATCAGTTCTGCCTATGATGAAGAATAAGAAATCCTGAGAATATCCAGCTTCTCTTCTTCCTCCTTCTAAATATCTTTAGATATTGGTTGAAGCACTCCTTCAAGATTCAGGGGAACACCCTTCTCTAATCTCCTTGAGGCTGCTGTGGCCTGGTGTCAGGCTCTGGGGCCAGCCCTGAATAGTACAAAGTCGGGCACCAGTGAGAAGTGAGAGAGAGAGAGAGAGGAAGATATGGAGGATGTTGACACTTTTCTTCCTTACTTGGTCTCAATATAGAAAATAACAGCAGTTTATCAGAGAACATTACATGAAAAGACAAAATCATACACCAAATACGAAAGAAAAAAAATATTTTCAAATCAGTAGAAGGCTCTAGAATGACATTCTTTTGTATCGCCTCACTTCAAGCTTTCTTTCAAAAGTAGAGTAGTCTATCATTTCCATCATGATATGAAGTGGTAAGAAATCACAGGTATTACCCTGGATGCATGACTCTGCCTATGCAGGTAGGTATCCACTGAGTCAGCTGGACAGAGGATGTATAAGAAGACAACTAGAAAATCATTCTCGAAATGTACAGCTTCCTTATTCCTTAAAAATGAATTCAAGATCTTGACAGTATAAACCTGGCACAGTGAAACACATCTGTAATCGAAGCTATTCAGGAAGCTGAGGCAGAAGGATCAAAAGTTTGAGGATAGACTTGGCGACTTAGTGAGACCCTGCCTCAAACATAAAGTAAAGAGCGCTGGGGATATGGCTCAATGGTAGAGCACTTTCCTAGCATGTGCGAGGCTCTGGGTTCCATCTGCAGTATTGGAAAAAATCTCTCAACAATGCAATGAACAGGTGTCAATGACAGGACGCACCTGACTAGCGAGATAGAGTTTGAGATAGCCTGGCCCCTGCAGTTAATGGCTCCCCAGAGCATTCATCCCAGACACAGTGTCTGCCCCCAGCCCCATGCCCAAAGGTTCCAGGTTCTCAAATGCCACTTTGGAAGACTAGGGGGCTCAGCTCAAGATGCAGTGCGCTCATCTTCACAGAGAAGCATTTACTGAAACAGAAGAAAGAGACCAAACCATATCCCTTCAGCTTACTGAAAAGTAGGTTGAGAAAAGCTCTGCCGTACTCGAAAAAGCAACTCGAGTATGGTCGTCTTTCCCAATGCAACAGCACAAGAACTTGATTCTGGTTTCCCACACGCTTGTAGCTGCTGTCTTGAGGCCATTAAGTAACTGGCTTGAATCATTACTATCCGGGTGACTGGGACCAGCCGAGGAATATGGGGCCATTTTCCCCCCCAGTGGGTCAAAGACAATGATAATGGTGACCACCGTGGCGGCGATGATGATCCAACTGCAAAACAGAGAGTGGAAAAGGCTCAGTGACGGTGGGCCCCACCTCCAGATGGCTCAGCCCCTGCATCTCTACAGAGGTGCTCCTTCCCGAGGAGGATGTGGATTTCCCAGATCCTGACTGAGGTGAGCAACTCAGTTCTTCAAGAAAGTTCCTCATAGCTAACCCAGGCCCCATAAAGATTAGAGTAGTAAAAATAAAGAAACAAAGGAAACAGAACTATTTGGTGGGCAGAGCTGCAGTATGAACACAGAAGCAGCTGGAACTAGCTCTTCACAGCACTACCTTTACCAAAAGAATTTCCATATTGTGCGCTACCCCATAGTTCTTTTGTTCATGTGTTTACATATTTCTAGGTTGCCCTACTGTGCGCTTGCGCCCCACCGAGTTTATGGAGTGTGCTGCTGGGAAGATGCATATGGGTGAGGCGACTCTGCTGCCCCCTGGTGGTATGGCTGAGGAAAGGCAGCAACAGCAGGAGCCCATTACTCAGAACAGGAGGAGATGGAATTAGATCATCTGTCAATTTTTAGCTTAGAATATATGAAACCATATTATAAACCTTACTACATTATTATTCCCTGATGCCACTCCTGTCACTCTATTTTTTCTCATCCTACTTTTAGTTTTGGTCGTCTGTAGTCTTCCTTTTTAGAAGAGAGGGAATGCAAAAAAATGAGAACTAGTAAGAAATAAAACATCGACAAATATATAAGGGAAAACGAATTATTTCTCATGTACAAACCAGTGTCTCTTAAGGTTCCATGAGTCACTCAATCTGATTCTAATTCTGCTAGGAAGCCAATAGACACTGGGCTACCTGTCCTGTTTCTCAGAAAGACTTGTTCTCCTGCCTCCCAAAGGCATCTGTGATGAGAAAAAAACTAAGAGAAGACAGAAGGCCTCACCTGACAACGACGGTTGCTACGATGCCATTCACAACAGTCCTGTCACACTGGACGCCCTCTGTTACCCAGGCTGCCCCCAGAGAAGCCCAGACCATCTCCGGCAAAAAGAGCGCTAAGCGGATGTACAGCAGCTTAGACATCGACTTCCGTGGTCCAGGGTTACAAATGGTTCCTGAAATACAGAAAATAACCAAGGGCTCACTTACCTCTTCAGAGAAGAGCTTTCCTTCCACATAAGTACAGCTAAGGGGGCACACATCTGTGCACACCCACACCCGTCTTGGTAAGCATTGCCCTCACTGGAGAGCAGCTGACAAGGTGAAGCCTGACTCATAACAAAAAGCCTGATTCATTTCTCAGCTTCAATGGGGGTTAAAGCTCTAACTGGGGTGAACACATAATCACTGCCCAAATGGAGAGAATTCTGAGAGCAAAAGGGGACACTGTTAATAATCAGGCTGGGGCAACAGGCACGCCATAGGGCTGTCCCAGACCAGCAGGATACAGTCCCTCAGGTTCTTTTTATGTTTTGCTTTAATTTGGACCAGGGGATTGATCCCAGAGGTGCTTTACCACTGAGCTACCTCCCCAGCACTTTTTATTTTTTGAGACAGGGTCTTGCTAAGTTACTTAGGGCCTAAGTTGCTAAGGCTGACCTCAAACTTGAAACTCTCAAGGATTACAGGTGTGCTTGCCTGGTGCATTGCCCAGGTTCTGATAGTCAGAAAAACAAACTCCACACTCACAGAAAATTGTGCTGTCCAAAGCACCATTCTAAACCCTGTATGTCTGTTATTCTTTAATCTTCATGAACTGTGATTTAGTCATTATACCATTTTACAAATGAGGAAACTAAGACTCAGAGTAAGAAGTACTTTCTGAAATATAATCTGGGTCTGTAAGACGGGGGACGGGGGCTCTTTGACTTGTAGTCCTCACTTTGGGGAAGTTAACTACTCTTTTTTGTTTAGTGCTAAAGATGGAAGCCAAGGTCTTTCCCATGCTAAGCAGGAGCTCTACCACTGAACTATACCCCTGTTCCCGGAAGTAAAAAGTCTGATGTGTGGGACCCCTTGAGGAGGGCTGATATTGAGACATGACATTTTTATTGTATTTGTAAAACAAATCCAAGTATCAGTAGAGGTCTTCAGTAGAGGTTCCCGAAATACAGAAAATAACCAACGGCTCACTTCCCTCTTTAGAAAAGAGCTTCCCTTCCATTTAAGTACAGCTAAGGGGGCACACATCTGTGCACACATGCTAGGCAAGTGCTCTACCACTGTGTTTAAATTTTTTTTTTTTTTTTTAAAGAGAGAGTGAGAGAGGAGAGAGAGAGTGAGAGAGAGAGAGAATTTTTAACATTTATTTTTTAGTTCTCGGCGGACACAACATCTTTGTTGGTATGTGGTGCTGAGGATCGAACCCGGGCCGCACGCATGCCAGGCGAGCGCGCTACCGCTTGAGCCACATCCCCAGCCCCTGTTTAAATTCTTGATGTAAAACATCAACTCCTTTTGGGAAAAAGTGGGGATACACTTATCTAAGTAACATAAAAATACCAAATGATTAAAACAAAAGCAATATTGAAAAAAAAATCTACGATCTAAAGAATGACATGGTAAAGAAATAGTCTTTAAATTTCAAAAATTATCCTCTGTTAATATTTTTAAGTGAGAATTAGAGTCTCACTTAAAAATATTAGGCATTCTCTGGACTCATTTATGGCACAAAGATAAATTTTATAAAATAATTGTTTCTAATAGTTCTCTCTCTCTGAGGGACAGATAAAGAAGCAGATCTGTAAAAACAGTTCCACATAACTGACCCTCCTAGAGAAACAGAAAACAGTACCCTGACACTGCCTCCAGGGGAGCTGGGACCCTCAACAAGAACATGTCTTAACACCATATGTCCCAACGCTATCTGAAACGCCAACAGTGACAACAGCTACAAATGCTGCATTAAAGAAATACACACATAGACGAGGAAGCAAAATGGAGTGCTTCAGATCAAGGTTCCAGAAAAGACATGAGACACTGAAGGTCCCTTTCCATAGTTACACCTGCCTAAGAGAAAAGTGAATGTGCAAATAAAGATAGAGTCTTCCCAGTCTCACACTTTTTTAAAAAATATTTTTCTCAGTTGTAATGGACCTTTCTTTTATTTATTTATATGTGGTGCTGAGAACTGAACCCAGTGCCTCATACATGCTAGGCAAGTGCTCTACCACTGAGCCACAGCCCAGCCCTAACCAAAGCCTCTTATAGTAGATATGAAGTTAAACTAGTACATCCACACCTTGCAATACTGCTCAGCAATAAAAAGATAAACCAACAAGGTGTGGTGGCACACACCTGCAATCTCAGCTACTCAAGAGGCTGAGGCAAGAGGATCCCAAGTTCAAGGCCAGCCTCAGCAACTTAGTGAGACCTGTCTCAAAATAAAGAATTAAAAAAGGGCTGGGGACATAGCTCAGTGGTAGGGTCCCTCGATTCAACTGCCAGTGCCACTGAAGAAAAAAAAGAAATGACTCAATAATAGTGATCGCTCCCAACAAAGCTATATATTTACAACCAAGAAAAAGAGGATCAGTCTCTTGGATAAGGATGACTCAATTATTTTGTTCCAAATACTCCCTCTACAACGTGTGATATTTCTTTCAGAGAATATCAGTGTAAAGCTAAATACATATTGTCTTTCTGCTCAAATGACAGATTAATTACTAAGACTTGACTAATAAAACAAAAGGGGCAATGGAAGTTATCCTTGTACCAAGAATTAAAGTTACCAATGTGTTATTTTAAAATAGACCTGAAATTAAAATGTAAAAACAAACGAACAACACCCCCCCACACACACACACAAATACACCTCACTGAATCAGTACAGAGGTAAAAAGTTCAAATAGGTCAAGTTGACAAAAACTCAATTTTAGGGTTGAGGTGTAGCTCAGTGGTAGAAAACTTGTCTAGCAGCATAATACCCAGGAATCCACCCCTAGTCCACAAAATAATGGTGATGATGATAATAATAAAAGTAAATTTTAAGCATTCCTCCCACCCCGGAACCCCAGTCCTCAGTTCCCTTCCCTAGAAGTAAGCCAGTAGCTGTGTCTCCTTCAGGGAGAGTCTGCACATAAACAAACACATATTACATTCTGTGGAAAAGACCAGCAAATGACATATGATGTCCTGGACCTTAGCCCACATGAAATCACCCTTTACTGTTCACAACTTATTTTCTCTTTCTTTTTCCCCCTCACCATCGTGCAACCTGCTTCAGTGCCAGCAGCCTAAAGGCAGAGGTCAGCAGTGGTTCTGGGCTCATCTGCCCCAGGCTGGGCACTATCAGAGGTCCAAGGGAAGGGGCTTGCCACAAATCCAAATCCAGGAATCACTTTCTCACGTAAAGGAGCACAGCAGACCATGACAAGGATGAAGTACAGTCCATCTAATCAGTGACCTTTGGATACACATAGTGTTATATGATGTTTTATCTCTAGGAACAGCATCTCAATGAAGATCCCTACAAGTGCACCTTTGCACAAGTCAATTATATAGGAAAAAAATAGATACACACACTCTTATTGCCATATTGGTCTCCCAAAGGACTCAACTAATTTACTTTCTCACCAACAAATGAGCTGCCTGAGGGCTGAGGATGTTGCTCAGGGCTCACCTAGCACGTTGAGGCCTTGGGTTCCACCCCAGCACGGAAAACAAAAAGAGCTGCCTGTTTCTACCCAGCATCACCATGCAAGGTTCTAAGGGATTTTATTTTGTGATTGAGGCTAAATATTTTATACATTTGAATTTGCTTTCTCTACTGCTCATGCTGTCTGCCTGTGTTTCTATTACCTGTGGGTTCCCTTCCTAATCACTGTAGAAATCCTTATATACTGAGGAGTCTCTTTCTTTGTCTCAGGTGTTACAATTGCCTTTTCCCATTTGTCCTTTTTTTTTTTTTAAGCCTTTTTTATGATATTCATCACTGAAATTTCTATAATGTTTTAATGACATTCAATAGTAATTACTTGTAATAACTTGGTAATTTAAAAAAATTTTTTTTGGTACTGAAATTGAACCCAGAGTTACTTTATCACTGAGCTACATCCCCAGCCCCTTTTTAAGATTTTTTTATTTTTGGCCAGGCATGGTGGTGCACACCTGTAATACCAGCAGCTTGGGAGGCTGAGGCAGGAGGCTTGCAAGTTCAAAGCCAGCCTCAGCAACTTAGCAAGGCCCTACCCAACTTAGTGAAACCTAAGTTGAGGAGGCTGGCCTTAAACTTATGATAATCCTGCCTAAGCTTCCCAAGCCACGAGGATTACAGGCCTGTGCCACCACACCTGGCTACAAATTGGTAATTAAATTGACAAGTTCTTATAAGATATTGCTTTTAGTTTATCTGGGATACCTCTAGAAACAAATATCAGAAAAATCTAACTCAAACTGGTTTAAAGGCAGGAAGAACCTGTGCAGACTCAAAGGACAGGTCCTGAGAAGTAGATGGGAATCAGGCTTCTCACGGGGCTGCCTCCTCAGTGTGTGGGTAGAGAAGCAGCACCACCCAGGACAGCCATGCTGATCTCTCCTACAGCAGCAAGGAAGCACTTCCCTAGAAACTTCCAGCACATGCTCCTGACTTTCAGTGGCCCACACTGGGTCCCACATCCACTCCTGAATCAATCACCCACATGTGAGGACCACCCTGAGCCTGGCTCACACCAGCTTTTCTCACACTGTTGGAATGTGAGGGGTGGGGATGGACTAAACAAAGCCAGGCTTGGTTAGGGAAGATGGTGGGGCAGGCAGCCCACAACTACAGTATGACCTGCAGAGGACTCCTGGGATCTGACCAGGGGTGTGATGGTGCAGGCATCATGCGAGCATTTAGGAGGAGTGAATAGGGGCACCCACCACAGAAATGCAAACGTGTCCTGACACCACCAAAAACAGTAGAAAAACATTTAAGAGGAAAGGGAGTTCACATTTAACTGTTCCAAATCTGAACCTCCCATAACAGTTAGAAACTCAGTGGTTCAAATGGAATGTGACTTGACAAAAAGGGCATGTGAATTAGAAAACGCTATGTCTAAAATGACACCTGTCCAAATACTTTATCTTTCAGAAAATCGGCCTTGACTGGGAAGTGTCACTGCACTGTCACTGCACTGGGAAGTGCCATGCTGTACACATTCAGTTCCTCCTTTCAGCATTTGTACCAATAAAACCCAGACTAGAGATCAACAGAGACCACAGAATGGAGACCTTCTTCAATCCAGACCCAACAGATCCACAGTTTGACTAAATACTGAAATACATAGAGCTCTGTTTTCTATATATTTCCATCATAAATGAGTGCATGCTCTGCTTCTTAGTGATCTGGAGCCCTAGGATCTTTTTCTTATTAAACATTTGTTTCAGCTGGTCATTCCTAACTGTCAGGACCTACACTCTATCACCCACTGTATAACTGTCCTTCCAGTTGGCCATCCACAATTGGACATATCTCACTGGAAGACTATAAGTTTAGCACATGCAAGGGCCTGGGGTCAATCCCCAGCACCCAAAAGAAAAAAAAAAAAGGATAATCTTTATATAATAATAATTTATAAAAGGATAATCTTTATATAATAATAATATAATCTTTATAAAGGATAATATATTTTTAGAGTAGACAATTATATTTTTAGAGTTGACAATTCTCCAAAACTGATATAAAAATAGCCAATAAGCACATGAAAGGATGGTCATCAAAAAATACAAATCAAAACCATGAGATACAATTTCCTGCTCACTAGGATGCCTATAATCAGAAAGTCTGATAATAATGTGTTGGTGAGGATAGGAAATTAGAACGCTTATACACACTGATATGAAAGCAAAAGGTGCAGCTGCTCAAAAGTCTGGCAAGTCTTGCCAAAAGGTTAAACTTAGAGTTACTACTTGACCCAGCAACTCCACTCCCAGGTACACATCTGAGAGAAATGAAAAGACACATCTATACAAAAACCTGCAAGCAAATGTTCAAAGTAGCATTATCTGTAGTAGCCCCCAATGGAAATCCAATGTTCACCAACCGTAGAGTGAGTAAAATGTGGTCTATCCTTCAATGTAACCTTATTTAGCCATAAGAAGGAATGGAATACTGAATGTGAATAACATGAATGAACCTTGAAAACATTATGCTAAGAAGCCAGACCAAAAGGCCAATTAAGGACAATTCTACTTCTGTGATGTCCAGAACAGGCAAATCTATGGAGAGAGAATGTAGACTAGTGGATGCCCAGGGCTAGGTGAACTGGGGGGGGGGGAGAATAAGTGACTATTAATGGGTACATCTTTTGGAGATGATAAAAATATTCTGAGGTTGATTGTGGTGATAGTTGCACAATTCTGTTGGGCAAAAACCATTGACTTGTGCACTTTAAATGGGTGAGTTGCAGAGTATGCAAATTTCATTTCAATAAGGTTATTTAAATAAAAAATAGGTAACAAATAGGAAACTACTACCTTTCATGCTGACACACACGATGGCCGAAACAGTACATATAACAACTGCCAGAAGGACCATGAGGACGATCAAGTAACTGCTGAGAAGAACTCCTCCAGCACAGTCTAGCTTCTTTCTGTGCATGACATACAAGGTCAGAACGCCAATCCACCTGTCCAGAAACAGGGAGGGTCAGAATTGGAATCCAAGGAGCAGCTTTGTAAAACATGATTCAAAGAAGTAAAGAAAGTTAATATTTTTCAAAACAAGGCTGACTGTGAAATACAATTTTCATCAACAAAAGATCAAGCAAGTCAACAAAAGAGCATGGCTTTCTATACTTTCCATGCTTATACCATTGTTCTTATTCTGTGCATGCTATAATCCCTTTAAAATCACAAATAAGCAAATATAATGTGAGCTGCTGGAGGAAATATGCAACTGGTAAGCCAAAAATTATGTGTTTGCTAAATTACTAATAAGAATTTGGACATTGGTGGTTTAACAACAAGCACACTATAATCTGCAGTGTGTAATTCAAAACCAAGAGGGAAGGAACTAAACAGAAATGTAAAGATGTTCATGCTGAGCACAGATAAGACAGGAAAAGAGTAGTTTTGTGGCCCTGTGACTACAATTTTGTAATTCAGTGCAGAACAATGAAAGACAGCACTGAAAACCACAAAGTAATAATGACCCTGACCTATCCCTAGAGGTATTTTAGCAAAAGGCTGCCCAACACTTGGCAAGATTGCCTTATTACACAGATTCAAGCCCAGGCCTTTAAGAAGTAGAACTTGGGGGCTGGGGATTGACCTCAGTGGTAGAGTGCTCGTGTGAGACCCTGGATTTGAGGCCCTGGGTTTGAGTCCCGTGACCACCTGGAGGAATTAAAAAAGAAAAGAAAGAGGAAGGGGTACTGGACTAGATAACTGCTTTCTTCAGTTTTGTGAAATCAGGCCTTCATGTCTAGAAATAACAGGGAAATGACCTCAGAAAACCTGGCCCTGAAAACTAGAAAGTTCCTGAGAAGTAGCTCATAACTCTTGTTTTCAAATTCCTTTCCCCTTGAGAATCTACTGTTTGAGAACGATGATATTACTCCTTGCCCACACCCTTTGCGAACTGACTTCATGCACCAGTGTCGCTTCCCATTGGTTCCACACTCTGAAAGACAACACTTGAGGAGTCTTTCTGCTTCTCGAAAAATTCTGCCACCACCGGCTCAAGAATGCAACGAAGGGCATTATTTTCCAACTTTCGTATTGCAGGGCAGGAGCTTTGCTCTCCCACGCGGAGTTAGGGAATGAAGCAAGTGCACCCGGCTCCAGAAGCAGAGCTCGAGGCAATGGTATTTGGTCTGCAACGAGGACCCCTCTCCCGTGTGCCAGGTCTCAGCGTTGCAACCGGGCGCTGCTCGTGCCCTGTAGCGCCGACGTCCGGGCCGCGCACCTGACCCCGACACCGCCTTCCCTGTCCCGGCTTCTGCGGTCAGCAGGCTGGTACTTTTGTCACTGTCTCAAGGGACAGCGCGCCCCCAGCCCCTCCTCCGCGCGGTACAGTCGCCCGCAGAGCGGCCGCCCTTACCACAGCACTCGCAGGAACAGCTCGAAGAACCCGGGGAAAACCAAGTCGTCACTGGCGATGGCCCAGCGCCGGCCGAAAAGCACCATGCCCGGCATGGCGCAGGTCCACCAGCGCACCGAGCAGCTCCAAACCTTCCGGACTCCGCGGGCGAAGCGACTCGCGACTCCGCGCAGGCGCCCACGAGGGCGAGGCCTTGCGCAAGCTCGCTCCGAGCCGAGGCGCACGCGCAATAACCCCCACGTCGCCCCCCGCCGTCTGCGCCTGCGCAGGCTCGCCGATCCAGCTGATGGCTGTTTACTTTTTAAATATAATACGAAATCTTATTTCTAAAATGAACTATCCAGATCAAAGTATAGCTCCCGAGAAGGCAAAGGACCCTCATACCTCTTTTTTAGCGATGAAAATGTTTCATATATAGAGAAGTTGGCCAGCACTTAAGGACTTACCAGGCATCCTTTTTTTTGGTACCGGGATGGAAACCAGATGCACTTAACCACTAACCACTGAGCCACATTAACCCTCTTTATATTTCATTTTGAGACAGGGTCTCGCTAAGTTGCTGAGGCTGGCTTTGAGCTCGTGCTCCTCCTGCCTCAGCCTCCCCAGTTGCTGGGATTACAGGTGTGCGCCGGCCCCCTCGGCCCTACCGAGCATCTTTAACAAGGGATAACATCCTACCGTTTTGCCTCATGGCTTTTGAAAAAGTAAAGATCTTTTTATATTATTTTCTGTTCTTTTAGGTTTAACTTCACCATTTGCACGTTGCAGGAAGCAGTCTAAGAGACGTGGCATTTCATCATGAATTTATATTAACTTGGAGAAATTTATCTTAAATCTTTGATTCATACTCCCTCCATTTCCCCGTTAGGGACTTGATTTTCTTGATTCGGGTAACTTCTATGATTCAGATTAAATGAACATCCTTGCATTTAGTGTTTTCTACTCTTGCCTACTGTTCCCCAGGTGTTCAGGATTTTGAGTAGTTGTTTTTCTGAGAATTCTTTAAAATCCTGAGATCTTCAATTATCAGATTGTGAAGTAAATAAATCACGTTTTTAGTTTTAGGACACAGCAATTTCCTATGACAAACCCATTTATTGTCATAGAAACTTTATCAGATGAGTAAACAGGTTTTTTTTTAATTAGAGAGAGAATTTTTGATATTTATTTTTTAGTTATCGGCAGACACAACATCTTTGTTGGTATGTGGTGCTGAGGACGCAACCCAGGCCACACGCATGCCAGGCGAGCGCGCTACCGCTTGAGCCACATCCCCAGCCCCAACAGGTTTTATCTTTTCATTGTATTTTGGCAGCAGAGTCAAGTATAGTGTAGGTTAACTAAAGTCTAAAGACTCACACCTTTTAAGTGCCTGAGGTGAAAGTAGGACAGATTTGCACTGTGTATTTTAGTATTTGTTATGGCTTGAATATGAAGTGTACCACCCAAAGTGTACGCCCAAGTGTACAATGTAACAGTGTTCACAGGTGAAGCAATTAGATTGAGAGCTGTAACAAGATCAGTGGGTTGATTCACTTGATGAATTAATCATTTGAAAGGATTGCTGTACTGATGTTAACTGTAGGCAGGTGGGACATGACTGGAGGAAGTGGGTCACTAAGGGTTACCTGACTTTGGAGTTTATATATATATATATTTATATATTTACTTTTAGTTATAGGTGGATATATCTTTATTTTATTGTGGTGCTGAGGATGGAAGCCAGTGCCTCCTGCATGCTAGGTGAGCACTTTACTTCTGAGCCATAATCCCAGCCCCTGGGGTTTATCTTTTGTCCCTGGCATCTCACCCACTCTCTGCTTCCTGGCTGCCATGAATTGAGCATCACAACCACCAGGATATTCTGTTTCACCTGGGGCTCAGAATAATGAAGTGGCAGACCATGGGCTGAGACCTCTGTTACCAAGAGCCTAAAATAAAATTTTCCTCCTTTAAATTATGCTTGTCGGGAGTTTTGGTAACAGCGACAAAAAGCTGATTAATTGTTTTATTAAAAATTACCCTTGGGTGGGATTGTGGCTCAGCAGTAGAGCACTCGCCGAGAACATGCTGGGTTCAATCCTCAGCACCACATAAAAATAAATAAATAAATAAACAAACAAAAAATCAAATAAAGGAATTGTGTCCAACTATAACTAACTAAATAACTAAATAAATATTTTTTAAAAAATTTATCTTTGCTTTGTCATTAAAACGATTAGTGCTGTGTTGCAACTTGCTTTTAAATTTGCAGGTAAAAAAGCAGGCAATACTTCAAACTTGCATGATAAACACCTAAAGATGTGCAAGATTCCTCACCGTAGCTGGGCAAGGTGATGTACACCTATAATACCAGTGATTAAGGAGGCTGAAGCGGGAGGATCTCAAGTTTGAGATCAGCCTCAGAAACTTAGTGAGATACTGTCTCAAAATAAAAACTTCTTTAAAAAGGTCTGTTGGGGGGGCTGGGGTTGTGGCTCAGTGGTAGAGCGCTCGCCTAGCGTATGTGAGGACCTGGGTTTCGATCCTTAGCACCACATAAAAACAAATAAACAAAATAAAGGTATTGTGTACAACTAAACAAATATTAAAAGAAAAAAGCTGGGCCTTGTGGTGCATGCCCATAATCCCAGCAGCTCAGGAGGCTGAGGCAGGAGGATGGCAAGTTTGAGGCTAGCATCTACAATTTAGGCTGTAAGTAATTTAGTTGAGACCCTGTCTCTAAATAAAAAAAATAAAGAGGCCTGGGGATGTGGCTCAGTGGTTGAGCACCTCTGGGTCCAATCCCAGTACAAAAAGCCTGGGGATGTAGCTAAGTGGTATAGCAGGGGTTTGAACCCCAATACTATATAGTATACCTACACTGTAAAGATTAACTCAGATAGGTGGGTGGGTCCATTCTAGGCAGGTGTTCAGGGTCCCTGAAAATTCCACATCTGACCACTAGAGGGAAACACAGCAAAAATCCCTGGTGAAGCTCAGACCTGGATTCCAGCTCAGGTACCCTCCTTAATAAGATGTCATCCTAATTGACCACAAAAAAATGGTGGTGACATCTTAGCCAATTTTATTTTCACTTGGGAATAGGACTACAGGAGGCTTTCACATGCTGAGGTTCCAAATCTTGTTCTGTGTATGGTGCTCTACAGTGAGTGACCCCAGCTTGTGTTATTTACATGCGTGAAGACAGGTATAAACCCCCTTTCCCCCAGTCTGGGCAGCAAGTGGTTGGCTTGACCTACTGCCACTGGAATTGCCACCCTTCCTGCACACTCTGAATTGTCCAAGGAGGATGAAAACAGACCACATCCACTAAACCAAGATTAGGATGCTGAGAAAAAAATGTAGACTGCTACATAAAGCAAAAACAAGGAAGCAATGGGCTGGGGTTGTGGCTTAGTGGTATAGCGCTTGCCTGGTACGTCCAAGGCCCTGGGTTCAAACCTCAGCACCTCATATAAATAAATAAAATAAAGGCATTCTGTCTAACTACAACTAAAAAATAAATATTAAAAAAACATGAAGCAAAAGGGGAAATAATATGAGGATTAAACTATGCGATTATGCTGCCAATTCAGAAAGCTG